TTTTTACACATTTTTTCAGGGAATTGAATCGGCAAACGTTTGCCCTGTTCGTTCCCTAGACCTTTCCCTCTTAGATTTCTTTTTGTGGGGATATGTAAAAGACACAGTTTATGTCGGGGCCTCCCACAACAAAAGGAGACATGATACAAGTGATACAAACTCTACCAGAGAACATTTAAAGAAATGAATTGAATTTGTGTTTGCAACACGATGGCTTTCATTTTGAGCATGTGTTGAAGAAAAGAGGGTTTTAGAATAATTTGATCGTATTTTCATATAAGTTTGTGTTAGCTGATCACTTTGTTGTCTTCTTATTAATTAATTATTTAGGATTCACTATCCTCGTCGCCACTGAAGTATTCGTAGAACAAGTCAAGGGTAATGATAGTTTAGAATACTGTAACGGAAACGCTCCAGACATGACGTCGCCTTTGGCGCTCTGGAATTTTCTAGACGCGCGATGGTGGGGATGTTTGCAGCGTGTCTGGTAATTGCGCGAATGTTCTGGACTTACATTGCTTGCGTGTATAAATGGTTGCGGACCGAACATCGCGGCAGTCTAGTATCGAACGAGATCGAGTACGTATGAAACATCGAGCGCGGAAATATAAATTGCGAAGTGAGTGATATAAATAATCGATATAAATTGTACGGATTTTATAGTGTTTTAGTTTTGTTTAATAAATATTGATATAAATCGAACCCGAATTTATAAATTACGTTACAATACTTTATTATTTAAGAAAACGAAAATAGTTATTTATGCAATGAGTGTATAAATGAGGCGTTTTATTGGTGAGTGAGATGTTAAATTCGAACGAACCAATAATCGCCGATTTATACATGAATTGCATACAACGTTTTTTCGTCGACTTCGCTGGGGTAGGTAATTTTAAATTCAACTACAAGAAATTACAAACGAAATTATGAGCTCCGACGATTTTTCACTAAATTACAGCTATTGTTGCTATAGTAATGTGTTGTTTTATGCTGTACCGTCAGTCCTCGTAATCGCAGTGGAAGATTATGTTGCTTGCTCTGCTGCGGAGGCGATTTTAACATTATATTCACTCAAATTAGAAGAAACTTATTGGAACGGTTTCGATCAGTTCGGCAATTGATGGAATAGAATGAATTTGAAAGGAGATATTTCCGAAAATGTCACGTTGACATTTTACCTTGAAAAGGTATGTGAAATTAGAATGTAATTAATTCTTTTGCAACTGTACTAAAGTACGTGTATTAACAGTGAAAGATATGGAAAAGTTCATCCCTGTGGTCGACGTACTCAATGTTGAAGGTAAAGTAACTGAATACCTTAACAATACCTTATCCGAGGAGCTACACATACATACATCAGGATATGCTTTGCTGAGATCGTTTGGCGACCATACTGGCTGCTGATCTCACTACATTAAAACCGAGATTAAAATGGTTAGGTGGATGGAAGTTCTCAGCTGTTGCCGAAAGTGAATTGTTATATAATTGTCATTTCCCTTTAATAAAATGGTTGTTATGTATAAATGGTTGCTAACGATTAATGGTTGCTAACGTATAATGGTTGGTTGCTAACCATTAATGGTTGCTAACGATTAATAAGCTTCATCATTGTACTCGTCACTAAGGAGTAATTTATATTGTTATCGAGAGGTCGACGAAAAACGCGTGTTTATAGTTTGACATAATCCGAACTGTCACCCAAGATCAGAGCCGCTTGCTTGTATTTGTGTTACATCAAGAATATATTAAAGAGAATGATATTAAAGAATCCTTTCCTTGATTTGTTTAAAATTCGATTGTCATCGCCATGATTACTAAAAAAAAATCCGGAAAAAATATTGGTATCAATTCCATGAAATGGGAATAACAAAAACTGTTAAAGATAGCTATAAGAACATGTAATATCCAAATATGCCAATTTCGATTCTCTATCTAATGCAATAGTAAGAAAATGGTCATGAAAATTTTTAAATTTGGATCTCCATAGACGATCGTGCGCAATTTCACTTTTTTTTTAAGCACGCAAAAGGAAGCCCTAGATTTTCTCTATGCATTGCTAAAAATGGGTTACCATAACTACAACCGCTTTCAAGTAATCAATTATCAAGGTACCGTCTGCATCCGCCATTTTTTTCAGCCAAAAGTGTAACGTGGTCAAGGACGGTGAGTTAAAGGGGGCACAAAGTAAATCGGGAAATAAAGAACGAATAGCCCTAACCACGGTTGCGGCTGCTCACGGAGAAACTAGGCTGGTAAGAGGTAAAATTTAAGGCGCCACTAACTTTTATTTCCCTGTTAGGGAGCTCAAAAATTAGAAAGTAGCCCTCTGGTGATCGAGGTAACTAAGGCTAAAAAGAAGGGGAGAAATACGAAACACTAATTAAGAGGAGCATAACATACTATTTAATTTCGCCTGGGACTTAAAATAAAATATAAAAAGAATTTTTTGAGGGAAAAAAATAATCTAGGGGAGGAAAAAGGGATGGGGCTAGGTAGGAACTATTGCATAACGGGTAGCAATCGATGGAAAGTATAATCACCAGACTGCTTAATATACTTGTTGACTGCTTGTGTTACCTTTCTTTCTTTTGATTGCATTCTTTTTTTTATATGGGGAATGATTGGGGGCGAAATATAACAAACAATTTGTTGAGTGACATAACTTGTTGTTTATATTGCTGGGCCCTCGGGCGATGTTAAGGGTAACGTTATAAAGTAGGAGACGGTAGAGAAGAAGGTCGTTCAGGGAGTGCTGGCGTTGAAGATTGTAGGTAGACACCAGTACAGTAAATTACAAAAAGGAAGGCCAAGGTCAAAGGTGGTGGAGGCCTTAAAGAAGAATCATCCGGTGTGCGACGAACGACAGGGATTTAATGACAATTAGACGATGAAAGGGAAGCGCACACCGAAGGATTGTAAAAATAATCGTGGAACAATTAAACTGCGTGATTTAAGAAATCGATAAATCCACAAAATATGGGCGGCTCGCAATAATAAAACTTCTCGGGGCTTCTGGTGATCTCAAAAAAAACAGGCTGAATCCCAATTAGGCTTGGATCAAAAATTTTCTGCACCTCATGCACGCACAACAGAACGATACTTATTGGAATGGCCCCGGAAAAAATAAAAAAAAGACGATCACGCAATCAAGGACGAAATTTGGGGAAAAATCAAAAAGTAACGGACACTAAGCGGAAATAACAAAAAGGCGGGAAAATAAACGTAAGGCGGGAAAAAGTAATACAACAAACAAACGATAGAGGACGGTACAGAGAAAACCAAAGAAGCGACACAGAACGTAGAAAGGCGGGTGAAAGATATGTGGGCATAAAATCATAGGGAAAAGATTAAAGAACCAAAAGAAATAGGAAGAGGGTAAAAACGGCATCATAGATATAAGGAAAAAAATACGGGGAATTTCAAACGTAACTTATATATATATATCTCAAAAGAAAATCCCTAATTTTAAAATTAAATATGAATCCTAACCTAAATTAACACAAAAATAAAACTTCTAAAGGGGTTTCGAAGGCGGCAAAACTAAATAAAAACTAAAAGAGAAAAAGGAACGTAACATAACTTAAAAACCATAAAAGGTAGATATCGACTTGTGGGTATCAAAAGAACTGAAATTTCATGTAGAATCCAAAAATACATTAAAAAATAGGGGTTGCCATTTAAAATAACGAAGTGACTAGCTACTTCCGGTATTTTCGGAAGTGCGGCGACCATTTAAAACATTTTACATCGATTCGGCCTTCAGAGTTAGCCCTAAGTACAAAATTTTCAAAAACCTACCTAGTTTCCCAGAAACGTTTAACTAAATCTCCAAAAAAACACCATGTATAGCAAGCCTATCTTTGCTTGACGAAGAATCTAAATGTATTTTAAAAATGTAGTGTAGCTGTAAAACAACGAGTAAGGTATAATATAACCCACTAATGAGTTATGGACGTAAAATAACTCACTAGCAAGATAAAGTACAGGAACCATAAGTAAATCCATATAAATTTTCTGACTAAATTTTTTGTTGTTTATTATTCCCCATAGCAACGAATTATTGCTTTTGTATTCCATGCACTCTAGCTTTTCGCGGAACACGCAGTTTTTAAGATTTCCACGTTTTAAACCAGCGTGAGGAGGTGTTGGATAAAGTTTTGTATGGTGCACGTGTGTTAATTACAAATAAGTCACTTGAGAAAATAACCCCACTCGGCCTGACGGCCTCGTGGGCTTACTTTTTTCTCGCGTGACTTATTTGTAATATAACACACTTATACCATAAATAACTATTATCTGCTCTTATCCGCTAAAAGTTTTAAAGTTTTTTTAAATATTTGTGATAATTTTGCGGTCGGTACACTACCAAGCAAATTTAATATGGGCGGGTTTGTCAAATTGGGAAAAAGTAGATATTTGTGATTCTTTGATTTTGTTTGGTAGGAACCAATAGTTACACAGCTATGACAACATAGACCATTACTGCATTTGTGTTACATCCAGCTAAATGAAAAACTATGTTGCTGATAAAGTTACAAGTTGGCTATGGTTGCAAAAAGCTATATTCGTTTACAAAACAATTCATTATGTTTGATCAAGTATGCGTGGTTCGAAATTGTTAATGGTATTTGAAACCATCCAAAGAAGTTCCAGAAACTATTCGAAATAAGGCCAATCTTGTGAGTTAGTAGGTATTGACATTTAAGAATTGACGTTTCTAATACATATTGTGTAATGCCTGAGGTGCATACAACATTTTATTTTTCATCGTCCCAAAGAATGCATTTCCAATATACAAATGTAATGATTAATGTTTTCCCAACATTAAAATGCTTCATACGTATCAAGTAGCATCTTTTTTATTACGTAATACAACTCCGTCAATATATTTGACAGGTCGTTTGAGGGCATAATGAGATGACAATCCATTATGCCCTCTCATTATGCCCTTGGGCGTAATAGACTGCTTCATATATCACATATGACAGATATTGACATATAATAGGCAAATGAAAAATAAAATATATGAACAGATTTAGATTCGCTACATACAGTAAACCTTTTGAGGAATATTATAAAATTATCTTCCAATTAACTAAGTTGGCCTTACATATTTAACGATTCCGCAATTTTAATTAATTAATTATCCAGTTCCAATTTTTGGTTTCTATAGGGCAAGGCCGCAATACAGAAAACTCAAATCTTCTCACAAAATATTCAGAAGTACCTATTTATTTATACATCCTAAAGTTATTTTTACTTTATTACGTTGCACAATAAAAACTTGTCCGTTCATTTTTAATTTATACCTTTTATACGAGTAGTTATAAGGTATTAGTAATTTGCACGTTATAAACATGTCCAGGGGCATGGAAACAGATACACAGTCAAAGTGCGTTTAATATACGCGTGCCTATTGCTTTTTCCCATCAACTTACTTCCAGTATATTTTCTATCAGCGAGAATGAAAATTTGAAAAGGTAAGTTTTACTTTCGTAAAAGGACATATGTATTTGCATTTTATTTTACCTATTATATTAGCAAGGCCAAAGACTAAATGAATGATTCAGCATTTTTGTACGGATGTGAAAAATTGACGAATACCGATAATACCTACTTTAGGCCCGGTGCACAATAGTTACAAACTAAATGGGGACGGCGTCCCGATTAGGTACTTACAGCAGTTACAGCTCATGTGCACCGGGCCTTATTCAGTTCAGAATTTTTTATTCAATGGTTCAGATCAAGTATAAGACCTTAGTGTAAAGAATTCTATTCTTTACACTATGATAAGACTATTATAAAATGGCTTATCAAATTCACCAACAATGAATCAACAATAGCAGTACACCCCCGAATTCTGTAATGATTAATAATTATTAATGGTGGCATAGTGTAAAGAATAGAATTACACTAAGATGGTGGATAATATTGCCTATTACCTCTGCATTCATTTGTGATGCAATTTGCATATTGTTACCTACAACAGAAACACATTTTACCTACATCGTTTTCCAGTATGCTCAGCAATGCGTAAATGTTTCTTGTTACAGATGACATCATTCGTGAAAAAGGGTTCATTTCTGGCACTTGCCCTGCTACTTAAGATATTGAAAATATTTTGCCAGTTTTATTTTATAAAATTTTACTTCAAAAAGCCAAAACGATGTCCCACAATTACCAATCCATTATTATTAAAAACGGCGAGTCAACTGAGTGAGGAAATTCGAAATCGGAAGGTAACTGATGGTAAGCTATAAGGAATAAGCATAAGTCCATTTAACTTTTAGATTAGCAGCGAATCTGTTGTGAGAGCCTACATTTCACGAGTGAAAAACGTAAATCCCATATTGAATGCGGTCATGGAAGATAGGTTTGAAATTGCCATTCAGGAAGCTAAACTCGTAGACATATCACTGATGGCAACCAATCTGAATTTAAATGAAGTAAAAAATAATTCTCCCTTACTGGGTGTACCAATAACTATTAAAGAAAGCATAGCAGTGGAGAACTTAAGTAACACCGGGGGCGCTACGGGTTTAAAGGGTGTTAAAGCCACAGAAGATGCGGATGTTGTAAAACTTCTCAGGATAAGCGGTGCCATAGTATTACTAGTATCAACTACACCGGAGTACTGCGTAAGCCTTGAAACCTACAACAAGATCAGTGGTACCACGTATAATCCTTACGACACCAGAAGAACAGCAGGAGGTTCTTCTGGAGGGGAGGTATGCTCGATTGGTGAATAGAACAACACTTACCTTCACTTACATAGGCGGCACTTATATCTTCCGGTGCATCTCTAATCGGAATTGGTTCGGATCTTATAGGTTCAGTAAGGTTACCCGCATGTTTCTGCGGTATATGGGGTCACAAATTTTCACGCGAAATAGTGTCTACACGAGGCCACATTCCTACGTCAGAAGATGCCACTTTCAAAAGCATGTTTACCTTTGGGCCACTAACTCGGTACTACACCGACTTACCTCTACTTTTCAATATCATAGTCGAAAAAAATTCCAAATCTGCTATCTCCCTAAATAGCCCGGTGAGTTGAACCATTTTTGTAATACCGTAAGTTACCATTCGTTTTTCTGAAAGGTCGATTTAAAAAACGTTAAGGTGTGCTTTTTGAAAGATTATAGTGTGTTTCGTTTCTGTCGAAAACCGGAACCGGAAATCTTATTCGCTATTAACAAAATTGTAAAACATCTAGAGTGTACTTGTATGTGTAAGCCTGAACTGGTAACCAATATACGAATGCTTTTATTTAATAACGATAAGTATTTTGTAGATTAAACTACCAAAGACAGGAGGGTACTCTTTTCTTTACATGGAAAAACTTGGAAGTATCAAAGGTGTTGAGGATATTCTGGAAAACTATTCGGGAAACTATTTTAAGGAGTTACTTTTACATTTGATTGGAAAATCACATATTACCTTTACACACACGTGTTTAGGAATACTGAATTGCGTGTACAGGTGTTTAGGTTCAACAGACAATAGTGACGAACACGTAAATACGATAAGGAACCAGCTACAAGATACATTGGGTTCCAATGGCGTCTTGTTACTTCCAACGCATCCAACTGCAGCAAACTTTCATGGCGGAGTTACTAGTAAACTTTATGACTATGGATACACTGCGATAATCAACATACTAGGTTTACCTGCGACACAGTGCCCAGTCGGCTTAAATTCGGCTGGTCTGCCCTTAGGGGTTCAAGTAAGTAGGCAATGAACTGGGAATTGAGGAATTGCATAATGTTTCAGGTAATTTCGGCCACATGTAATGATAGGTTAACACTGCGAGTAGCAGAGGAAATCGACAAATTATTTGGAGGATGGATACCGCCTCCTTTTTCTGAATAAATGGTTTTGTATGCAAGTAATCACCACGTCAATATGACTTTAACCATGTTGTACTAATGTATTATATTTTGTATCCATATCATTATAGCTGTTGCTTTGGTACTTCTTTTTAGACTCAAAAACTTGTAAACATATTGTATTTCGTATTAAAAACAAACTACTTGGTATTAGCACATACGTTGCCAAGATCCACAGCACTTCATTTCCAGTGGTGGCAGACCCAAGATGCGGATGTTGTAAAACTTGTCAGGAGAAGCGGTGCCATAGGTTTCCCTTCTTCCGCAGGAGATCTAAATTAACTTAAAACACAATCTTCGGACCTTTTTGCTTTGTGGGTTGCTTCTCTTCGACAGAAAATTTTATAGCGAACTAAACGAAAACTAGCCCGTGCAATATCGGGTAAATTTATGGAAATTGGTATAGTAAATATGTAAATAAGTAATGTGTGTAAACACTTAGCATACATAGGGGATCTTACTATAAGTAGGTAGATAAGTAATTGCTCTTACAAAGCAGATTCCAACCAAGGTAACTGTTCGCATGGTAGGTTAATTATAAAGAAAAAATTAACATAATATGAGAAATTTTTTGTCTGGTACGCTGTGCCCATGAAAGTCATTGTACTATGAAATACGTATTATTTTTTAAGGGAAAAGTGTTACTTTTCCTTATGACCCAATCAGGAAACTTGTGTAAACTCGTCTAATTTTTTACGTACATGCCATCATTAATTGTGTACTTATTTCTATTGTACCTACGCTATGTATCAACCAAATGGAATACATCAAATAGTAAGAAACAAGTATTGAAAACACATGCGCGTACTACAATGGCGCATTTTGCAATACGGAGGTTAGTATCTTATCCTTACCTCTTGTAGTAGCCCTTTTTGCTGCTTTCTCAACTAAATTGTCCAAATTGTAGAAATTATTAAATAGATAAATATTTTGCTTTGCCAATCAATAAAGATTTCGGTGTGGTACAAATGGAGTACGTCAGGAAGACTATACAAAATCTAATTTCCCTGAATCAAGTCAATGTGTTTTGCCGTTTCCACAACGAAATTGGTGAAAATTGGAAATTTTGACAAAATTTTGGCATCATTCCGAAGTGATTAGGTAAAAAACATTTCTTACTGCACTGAGGGACTTACATCTATCAAACTAGACAATTAATGAGTTGTTAATAATTTTTAAAATTGGATGGGATTTTATTATAAAGACGAGCTTTCCACTGTTCAGTGTCCAGATCTCGTCCCTCACACGGACGGATCGTAATAACGTATGCCAAAATCTATATAAAAAAACGTTTTTTGGTAAAGTAGTAAAAGTACTTATAAATTCTGTCGAAAAATGACTTTCTGGGGGGTATAGAATCCAAAAAAAGCAGCATTTTTGAGACCGACGAGTACATCAAAAGTCACAAGCTTTTGCTTTTTTGGACATCGGTTGGCTATGACTTTTAAAGAAAAAGTCTAATCCTTGTCGAAAAGCGGCGGCGTAAATGTGAGCATTAATTTGAGATTGGACACAATTTCGATCATGGTATTTGAATTTGAAGCCAATGTGATTTTGTTTAAAAATTATTTAATGTCGTTAATTTTGCTTAAGGTGACATACGTATGGTGAATATTCCAAATCGAACATAAGGAATTAACATGGGAAAAAGATTTTTTGTAGATAGTTGGTCCCCTTGTTAACTTAAAGAGTTTATAATAACACCGATCGAAAGAAGATTTTTTTCCTCATCTAATAATATACGAATTAGTTTATTTTCAGGTGTATTTCTCACAATTTTATCAAAAATTCGGCAATAAATCCACTTACCAAAATCATGACTAGTAAGACAAAAAGCAGATTCAAACGTTATTCAAAAGTCAATCAGTTTATGACAACTGGCATTAATTTTTTTGTAAAACGTCATCGTACGTTTACAGCGGAAATAGTTACTCTAGTACGCGATATTTTAATGAGGGTCCCATTCCGTCTGTGTCAAAACCTATTTCAATTCTTGAGGAAATTTCCATGGCTTAACATAATTTTTGCTAATTGGATTTATTGCCGAATTTTTTATAAAATAATGGGAAATAGACTTGAAAATGAACTACTTCGCATATCATTAGATGGAAAAAAATCTTCTTTCGATTGGTGTCATTATGAACCCTCTAACTTAACATGTGGAACAACGATCTGCAAAAAAAGTTTTTCCCATGCTAATTACCTCTGTTCGGTTTTAAAATATCCACCCGGTATGCGGTATGTCCCAATTTCCAAAGCGATTAGACGGTTCTAAACAAAGTTATTGTGCACACGGGCAGATAGACAGCTAAATTACAAACGATCCTGAGGATCGTTAATAGTACATATAATGAAGGGTGCCCCAAGACGAATGCTGGCTATCTATAGATATCGAAAAGGATCCCCGTAATATTTGGAAAATTTACACTATGCTAATATTTAGTGTTTACCATGGACGAGTGAGATCCGCTGACACGTCGGATTTTCCGTCCAGTCGGTCAGTCCCAAAACATTCCCAACCATTTATTCCCTTATTTTCGAATGATTATATAGTGTAGGTAAAAAACCTGGAGAGGTAGATTTTTCTTTAAAAAAAAAAGCCATATTGAACGATTCTTATGATTGCATATTGTTCGAAAAATTTATCATTTTTCTCGCAGCTACTTTTTCTAACAAACAAACAAATAATAAATAAAATAAATTATAAATGTGTATTCCTCTACAAGCTTCTCATTTCCTTTTTTATGAAGTCTTGAAAATGCTCGGGAAAGGTCCATCTGCTAAAGACTTGCTGATTTGTTGGTTACGAATTGTTAATATGTGGTACAACACACTTACGCACGAGTTAAAATTATCTATTGCGGTTGATTTCATATTTTTAAGTTCCATTATGTAACGGCTTAGTTATATTTAGAGGGGTTGGAAACCCCTCCTGTAGAAAATGAGTTTTATTAATGATCCTCGAGATCGTTTATAATTTTGTAATGCTGTCTGTCTGTCTGTCTGTCCGTCTGTCTGTCCGTCTATCCGATCGCTTTGAAAATTGATACATATGTTCTTTAGGATGTAAGAAAGGTCGCTATTGTTTTTCGGCTACGTAGACTAACGGACCAAAAAGTTAAAGCCCAAAAACTGCCCAAACCTCCAAAAAAATGTTTCTTTTATAATTCTTCTTACAAAGAACATATTAATGTCCGGTTTTCTGTGTTAGTAAATATTCCCTAAATCTCAGGTAACTATTCAAAAGAATTTTTTAAAAATTGCGCATGCGCAACCCAGCCTTTGTATTTGCGGAATTCCAATTTTTTATCTAGTTAAGATATTTAAATGAAATTTTGGAGGCACCTCACATAAAAGTAAAACTGATGGTAAAAAATTATTTTGCGCATGCGCAATCCGATTTGTAGATATCTTCGTTAGTTATGAACCGAATTGCTTGAAATTTTGTATGTAAGCACCTCGAATAAAAATAAAATTGTTTTGCGCATGCGCAATTTCAATTTCTTTATTTGTTCAGATATTTAAATGAAATTTCGTATATACGGACCTCGAATAAACTAATGCCGATTCAAAAATTTGATTTACAAGCTATGCTGATCTGGTGGGAAAGAATCAATCTCTTAAGGTGTGTTGTAAAAATGATGTATGTGCGAAGATCTCGAGGATCGTTCGGTATTCAATTGTATCGAATTTTTAGCGCATTTTTAAAGAATTAATTTTATCTCTCTTTATATTCTAATTAAAGATCTCAACGAAAGGAATTCATTTCTACCAACCATAGCCCTCTTCCTCCACCTCTTATCGTGATCGCGTATATTCCCTTATACCTCAACATTGGATTGTCGGAAGAGGGTACTCACAAAGGGCTATTGAGACGACTGCAAGAAATATATCCATTGATGACATCAAAACAAAAGCTATTTCGGGTTAAAAAAATGCTTTTTATCTGCACAAAAGTTGTGCGCAATTTATACTTGTTTATTTTGGATTAGAGGAACGGTGGAAATTTGCGCTATTATTTATGCTATTGCTTTTTCGTTTGACATTTCTGTATGGTATATTAATAATACCCTGATTTTGGCAACGCAACCTAACGTACTACTTATCTACTAGGCCAGACGTGTCTTTTTCTCGACTTAAATTATCCGATTGGGGGTGGTGTCACCTGTTGAAGAATTAAATTTGTATTAAACTTTTCTTCGACTAGTATATACCTACGGAGTCAAATGGCGAAATTATCGACTTCGGATGCGTTATCTATGCACTACAGAAGTTAAAAATTACTTTAGGTCCCAAGTGAATTTTTCTACAATTTACCAAACTTTATAAATTAGGTATTACAATTATTTGCTGGCTAGATTCTAACAAGTCGTATAGGTAATGGCAGTATAAGGAGCTGTATACTAATTAAAATACAATCAACAGTGGTCAAAGGTGAACGTAATGCTTATCATAATTATATGGTACCAAACCTTTCAAAATGAATTCCTACAACAACTCTAGCTCGTCGCAAAAAATAATATTAGTCTCAAGTAAACCCATGCAGAGATTTTATGACTTCTGTGATTCAATTAACTAAATAATGACGTACATCAGACAGCCGAAGTAATGAAAATTAAACGAATGTTCTACTTAAAAGGTTGTCCTTCACTTTGTAAACTGTTTTGAATTATACCAAGTTGCCGGTTTTTTAAAGTTGTTTTTCTATAATTGGGAAACCTCAATCCAATTGACATAATTGTAATGATGTTGCGAATTGTTTTAATTACTTCGTATTTTCCTAATGGACAGGCCTTCAATTTTGGTACAGTTTGACGTAGGTAAATCAGTATATGACACCTCATTCGAATGTATGTATGGTTACGCCTTTGTTTTTAGTTAGTACCTACTGCAGTTACTGGATTAACTTCGTCGATTAAACCTTCATTGTGCAAAATTTGTACGAACATGGGATCCTTACTCAAAGGTAAGTTGTATCGTATAGGGATTATATAGTTCAATGCTAAGTTAGTAAATTTAGGAACCCTCCTCATGTAACTTACGAGCAGTAGGTACTATACCATCCTGTGCGGTGCCGACACGTACAATAACAATACCAAAATTAATATTTATTTAAGAAACTAAACAAGTATCAATATATAGGTAAGTACTCACGACTGTTATTTAGTTATTCTAAACTTTATTATCATAAGTAAGTACATACAGTATATGCAAAAACGTAGATAATGGTAGATAACGCACATTGAAAGGCTATTGTTGTTAAATTCGCTATTTTTAAACTGATCGGAGGTGCACTCTACTTAAACTATTAGAGATAGTGGACTGATTCTAATTAAATGTGGGCAGTTAGATAACGTTTTAATTTTTTATTGTATGCTTATAGTTGTGTCCGCTCTCATATTCTTTTCGTATACGCTGGCTTGGTTGAGTACCGACCACCATAACATTTTTCTTACTGTGGACGCTCGTTAGAAAAATGTATTACTTCTATTTCTATATGATGACATTCTAATACGTATTACCTTCGTAGTCTATTGCAGAGAAATACGAGGTATATTCAAGTATAAATCTAGAATGTTATAATAGATATGCATTGACCCACCTTGTCCTAGACTCGTACCTACTTCCCAGAGGATAGGGACCCTAATTCATATGTTGTCTTGTAGGATTTCAAGTTAAAATGTTTGCGGTCGTTTGCCAATTTTTTTTAAAATAGAGTAGCACAGAAACAAAGCAAATGGAAGACACCATTAGAAATAATTAGGTTACCTAGTTCCTTAATTAACAAATTGCATTTTATGCCAACAATTGACATGGGGTTTCATTTAATTACGGATTGAAGCTTTTGTCATTTTTAAAATGCTATAATCAAAGGTATTAATTACCCAGATCGTAGCTTATCATTTAAACAATCATCAATTTGCTATTAAGAGTTGAGCAAGGGTTGCATCGAAGGATAGACTCCAAAAATGATTGATTTCTACCAAAAAATTGAAACTCAAGTATTTGTTCTTGAATAATAATTACTCAACGAGAAGTTTAATGTTGGTACCAGCTGCTTTTCGTGCTTTAATCTAAGCCACCTACACACCACGTGCTCGCATAAAGCAGGAACCAGCCCCCTATAACCATAAGCAGTTAGATGCACAATATAACCGAATTCACTTTGATACATCCCGATCGGGAAACCTGACATGAAGAGGCATGTTACATCACCTACCTGACTTACGGACTAGTTCCTTTTTTAGGGATAAGTGTCCGCATAAATGGCGTTTGGGACATTTGTATACGGTACTGATAGTTTGCTAAAAACCCCTAAGGAAGCTGCTATTTTGGATATAGGTACTTTTAACGGAGCAAAACCGCAGTAATTTTCGCCATAACTCCAGCCAGTATAAATTTCTCTAAATTACTCTAATTTACCCGCAGACAACATATTTACGTTTAAGGCGCTTTAAAAGGATAAATTTGGTATTGGTAGGATGTTGGTATACATGTTGTAGACCAATTTATGGGATTTATTTTAAAATAGGATTTTTATTCATTTTTACCCATCGAGTTCATGTTTTACGTCGATAAGATATATATTAATAAACTGTAGTTTATTAAAAAGCTTCCTTATCTGTGCCCGCACTCGAGAGAGTGCCACCACTGTACTTTATTTGAGGTTCTCCTTTCTTTAGTGTCACAGCTAGCCTCATAGGCACCTTTGATGGTCATGCAAAGGTTTGATCCCATGACTTCCAGTTCCGCCGAGTTATTGATTGCCGCGAGACGGTTTTCGAGATCGACCTTTAGGTTCTTTCTGCAGAGTTCCCAGTTGATTCGTCGGATATCTATTTACGGCTGCACCCGCTTCGTTTGATGTTGATCCAATGTCAATCAAAACAAATATATCTATGGCCAGATAGCGATGCATCGTCAAACACCCAACAGCCTGATTCATTCATCGAACAGTTGCAATTTAATATTTGAAATAGCAATAACTCCCTCATTGTCTACTACTGAACGTACGTTTTGAATATTTGAATATTTACAAGACCGCCTTCACACGTCAAAAGAATCTAGCCGATGCGAACCATGTCGATATTGTTATATTAGAGAGAATGCTTAATTTCAGCTAGAGAGGGCTCTACGTCTTCCTACAAACTTAGGCCCCCTCATGAGAAACAAGATTTCAATGAAAATTTGTGGTGCCTTCAAAGATTGAAGAAAATAATGTACGCTTGAAATCAGGAGTCCGTGGCCTTGCGTCATCGATTTCTGTATCAATATTAGACATATGAAGACATACGCTAAAACGCTGTAACAACTATCAAGTGTGCGAAATCGATAAAAAAAACTTGTCTGACCATATTCACAAATCAATAACGCAGGACCAAGGGACTCGTGATTTGAAGTGTATACTGGCCGCAATAAATACATGAATACCTAGTGTACTTTGATAATCACCAATGGGTTTAAGCGAGGCCTACGATACTTACAGGCCGGAGCGCTCGAAAAAGTCACGTGACGTTAGGAGTCATAACTCATATGAAATACATTACGGCTTATGGAAAATCCGTGCGCGGCTCCACTATTTATTTTTTTACTCCTGATCCGTTCAACATAGAACCACGAAATTTCAATGAGAGCTTGTCAATAGTACACACAATCAAATTATGGTGTTCGTTAATTTTTAATAACACTAAAAATAATAAATTTTTAGGTTTAAAGTATTGCAGATAAAACGATGTTAGTATATCCGCGTTTTTCTGTCTTTACATCATCATATTTCTTTTTCTAGGAACTATATCATTATAATCCTTTCGGTGTCTTAAACTAGAATGATATGCGCCTCCAATAATGCGTATATGATGCCTAATCTGATATTAGTATAGTTTTAAAAGGCCCTACAAAATCGCGCATTTATTATCCGCGCAGAGAAAAATTCACCATGCGAGAAACTTTTTTGTTATTACTATAATTGTATCACATATACGAATGAATTGTGGCCAAAGGACACAAAAATGTTCTTCAGAAGGAATTTTTAAGAAATGGTCTCTTGTTTCCTTTTTTTCAGCAGCTGAAGTAAATAGCGCGATTTCAAGAATAAGTGAACGCGCAAAGGAATTATTATGTTTCAAATAATAATTGTTAGTAATCCATTTTCAAATTGTTTTTGTGAGATTCAAATTTACATTAAACTATAAAATTAAAGATATTATCAGTCAAAAGTATGGAGTATATCTTATATGTTCGTTAATATGAATTTTGCAGTACATAAAGTATTTTAGTTATACCTTCTCGTGTTAAAGTGAAATGGGAAATTTGCATTGTCCGCCTAAGAGGCCTGGTAAGTATCGTAGGCTTTCATCTTCATTCTATGAATAAATAAAAATAACCTTTTGAATAAGGAAGTTTTAAAAAATAGCATTTTCTATCCAACTTACAGCAGTTTTAGTAAAAAGTACAGATTGTAAGGAATAGGCAGTGCCGTTTTTTTTTCGTTTTCAGAAGTAACTGTTGTGTCGTTTTCTAAATCTTAGAATATTTCAATACTTATATTTAACATCGCCTCATCTTCTGCTAAATTACACGACGAAACAAAATCTTTGATGCAAAATACTCCTCTTGAATCTCACAAACACAATTTGAAAATGGATTACTAACAATTATTTGAAACATAATAATTCCTTTGCGCGTTCACTTATTCTGAAATCGCGCTATTTACTTCAGCTGCTGAAAAAAGGAAACAAGAGACTATTTCTTAGAAATTCCTGCTGAAGAACATTTTTGTGTCCTTTGGTCACAATTCATTCGATATATGTGATACAATTATAGCAATAACAAAAAAGTTTCTCGCATGTTGAATTTTTCTCTGCGCGGATAATAAATGCGCGATTTTGTAGGGCCTGTTAAAACTATACTAATATCAGATTAGGCATCATATACGCATAATTGGAGGCGGATATCATTCTAGTTTAAGACACCGAAAGGATTATAATGATATAGTTCCTAGAAAAAGTAATATGATGATGTAAAGATAGAAAAACGCGGATTTACTAACATCGTTTTATATTCAATACTTTAAACCTAAAAATTAATTATTTTTTGTGTTATTAAAAATTAACGAACACCATAATTTGATTGTGTGTACTAATGACAAGCTCTCATTGAAATTTCGTGGCTCTATGTTGAACGGATCCGGAGTAAAAAAATAAATAGTGGAGCCGCGCACGGATTTTCCATAAGCCGTAATGTATTTCATATGACTCCTAACGTCACGTGACTTTTTCGAGCGCTCCGGCCTGTAAGTATCGTAGGCCTCGGTTTAAGTAATTATGTAATTGCAAGCGCAACCCTAAGATTGATAAGTAGTGTACCTACAATTGATAAAAACCTTATTGCGCTGGGGGCGTGGAAATTGCAATTATTCATCTATAGATGAGTTCACAAGGGAGGAAATAAAGCGGTTGAAATTTAAACAGAAACATGTAGATAAAACCGTTGTTTCCATAATTTCATGTCAGTGAATAAGGAAAAAATTAAGAATCCGTAAGTGCTGGGGCTTTACTTGGTACTTCTATTTATGTAAGTAGGTACCTACATACTTTATTTTCGACGGACTGACGTGCACTGAAATTTACTATTATTGGCGCAATTTCAGTCAGTACATAGCAGAATTATCTGTTGAGTTAGGGCTACGTTTAACAAAAATTAAAATTCAATATGTTCGTGCGTTTATTTGGTTGTTTAGGTGCTACTTTATCTCAGTTTGTGGTTAAAAAGTTAATCACGTAAAAGTTGTATTTTTAGTTGATTACAGTATCATTACCTATACGTTTCACAGAATTCCATTGCTGCACAATGTACTCGTAATTATAATAAGTAATTATAAACATATTGCAATTATATCTTAACTGATTTAACAACACGAGCGAGAAACTTTTTGCTGTAATAATGCACATCAAGGTGGGGAAGAAATAAGGATGTATACCTACTTCCTTTTATAGCAATTCAAACAGTTCCTGTAAGTCTTTATAACTCAACCGATTTCTACTATTTACCTATGAAGTTTACCGATTCGTATATCTACGATAGTAGTAACCAAGAGATTGGTCCTCCCACAGGAAATAACGGTAACCAATTATATTACTCTATAATGAGGTAGGTATTATTAGTGCACTCATAAATACCGACAATAATTTTCACTATTCACGTCTAGTCATATTCTATTACTTGTATTAACGCCATCCATTCTTCTAGGATAAATCATGTTGAACGTAATTATTAAAACTGTAATATACATTAGTGTCAAGTTGATGAACGCAATGGAATGTTTACTATCAGTGCCATACTATTTCAAAACTAAGAAGAAGGTTCCGCGAATTACCAACAAGATTCTACTGTATTCTGCACGACGGCTGCTCCAAATGATTAGTAATAAAGAGGTAAGTGAGTAGGTACTCCATAGGTAACAGTTCCTAACGCAACCGTTTCCTCAGATTTTATGTGAAGATGTAATAAAGGCCTACATTGCACGAATTAATCAAGTAAACCCTTTACTAAATGCAGTTGTTGAAGATAAATTTGATGAAGCCATTGCAAAAGCCAAACACTTTGATGAAATAATATCCAAGTCAGACATGGATTCCAAAGAATTGTTGGAAAAGTACCCCTTGTTGGGTTTACCGCTGACAGTAAAAGAGAGTATTTCCATGAAAGACTCGAGTTATACATCGGGAAAAGTATTTATTGGTGGGAGAAGAGCAACACGTGATGCACCCATAGTAAAGTTATGCAAGGATGCTGGTGCAATTCCGTTATTAGTCTCGAATACACCGGAATTGAGTGCCAATTTTGAAACTTTCAATAACGTAACTGGTCTGACTCGTAACCCTTATGATCATAGACGGACAACTGGTGGATCGTCCGGTGGCGAGGTAAGATTACTGATAATGTGATTGAAGATTAATCTAAAATTGTAGGCAGCATTGCTCGGGGCTGGTGCTTCTTTGATAGGTTTAGGTTCCGATATATACGGCTCTTTGCGTTTACCTGCTCATTTTTGTGGAGTGTGGGGTCATAAATCTAGCCCCTACTCCACCTCAATTGAAGGGCATTACCCAACTGCCTCCGATGTGCAAGAATGGAAAAAAGTGTTTACTTTGGGTCCTATGGCAAGATACGCTAGTGATTTGTCATTAATATTGGATGTTATTACGGAAAAAAGGTTAAAACTGCATACCTCGGTGGATCTGCGAAACGTAAAGTATTATTACATGGATTACAATCACTCGACATTGTATTCAAGATTAGACAAACATACGCACATTGCTATACAAAAATTGATCACCTACATAGAATCTTCAAACCCCGGCTCTGTTAAGAAGGTGAGTATAATATGCAAATTAGGTTTTAAACTCATAGGTACGCTTCTATACTAAACAAATGACAAAAAGTTAAGGAAAGTATTCAAAGACAACGGTTGTGCTTTATAATAATACCATGCGAATTCGTTGTTCATGTCTTATTTTTGTTCCGATTTTAGTCCTAGAAAGTACACTGTACCACAATTTTCAAAATATGACTAGGCTTTTCGTGATAGGACGGATTTCACTAAAAGACTATGACATGTCGACAGGATTTTTGCCGTATGCGTAATTTTTGGAGGGAGAACAATTTCTTCGTATGCTAGGAGCGATCCAATTGAATTCTTATTCTTTTCTAGCTATAATCAAAGAGTTATATACTCTTTGCTATAATTTAATAACGTAACAGGAACGTTCTGTCTTCTCCTTCCTTTTCCACCCATTCCGAACGTTTTTTCTTTAATTACACCTGCGACCGTAAGTGCGGTTGACTTTTGACCACAAATAGCATCTCTGAGGAGCGAAATCGTTCAGCCTTTTCTGTTACAATGTTTGAACCGCCTTAGCAATTTTGTATGCTAATGGTGCGTCAAAAAAGGGGTACCTATGAGACACAACTTTGTTATTTTAAATGGAACACTATATTTTATTGTAATAGTGGTTTGTTCTAAAAATGTTGCATATTTTTTTGTGAAACATAATGTATACAAAAGCTTAACTATTTTTGAAAAATGTAATATTTTTTCACAAAATCACGTAGGGCCGAAGTTGGTGTAATTGTGCTATTTTCGAACTATGGTCGAATTGCATCTAATCGCATTTTAGTTTACCTGATGTTGATATTCCATTTATAAGACTTTCGTTTAACGCGCCAACTTCTGCCAAATTTTCATTAGGCATTTCCTAGTCAAAGTGGCATTTTGATGAACAGTGTTCAGTTTTACCACACTCTCGACAAACTTTCACAACGTTTTCTATGTCCTTACTCCTTACCAATGCACGCCACAATAGTATATTGGAAGACAAGTGTTACAATGTGACCTATTGTAATACGATTATCTTGTGGCACGAGTGGCTTAGCGAAGCGGAGCCACGAGTGTCCACAAGATAAGAGTATTACAATAAAGCATTGTAACACGCGTTTTTCAAACTATTTTTTCTATTTCGGGGCTTTAATTTAATTAAAAAGTAATTATCAAAAACTACAGGAAACTTTAGAATTAATATGTCTTAAGTTGGCAACACCATTTACGTTGACAAATTTTAAGTTGGCAGCGTAGATAAATACAACACTGACATTTGGAAACGTTAAATTCCGTGAATGTGTAATTTTTTACTCGTAGATAAATTTATTTATGGTGGATGTGTAAACTGCTGATTTGGAATGTATTAAGTTCTTCGTGTACCAAAAATCAAGGAAAACAAATAAATTTTACGTATGTAATTTGATTTCACATCTGATGATTTGACGTTGACGTCTTGGCAAACTGCCAACTTGAAATGAAAAGTTACCAAAAACAATGTTACAATGGAACTCATTGAAACACTGTTTTTGCCGAAAACAGTTGCACAAAAATCTCATTGTAACACCGAAATAGAAAAATAATATTTAAGCTGTTTCATTTTTGTAACACCTAAACAGGTAACATGTAGTCTTGAAGAATAGCGGTTGCATTGTTTTGAAAGGATATGCCATGGTCAATTACTTACCGCGCAATTAAAAATTGCAATTTACTGTCACTCGACTTCGTGTCGTGTGACCATAATTACACAACTTCAGTATCTCGATCCCGGTTCCTGAATCAGGAGAAATAGCAGAGCTTGCTTGGTATAGCCCTAACATCAAGTATTTTTTTAATTATTTTATCCATTAATATTAGCACGATATTAGATAACTTCCGAGTAATCCTGTTTTGTTTATTCTAGATCCATTTGGATGACTTTAAATATACTGCCGAGTTGCCATTTTTAAAAATGCTATCCTTTGAGGTAGAAGACTTATTGGAAAACGACGGAAAAGACTGGTTAAAGGAGTTGTTTGGATACCTAACAGGCAGATCACGTAAAGTTTTTGTACTGGTAGTCTTACAAATTTTGAAGCGTTTGTACACGGTGTTTATACCAAATACTGTACAATGTCAATATGACAATGTTCTAAATAAGTTAAGATGCGATCTAACAGCTGTGCTTGGAAATGATGGAGTGCTTATTTATCCATGTCATCCAACAAGTGCCCGTTTTCACGGTAGGATGTACGGCAATTGTGTGAATTACAGTTTTTTGGGATTGTTCAATTGTCTTGGGTTCCCTGTTACCAACTGCACTCTTGGATTAAATTCGAACGGTTTACCTGTTGGCGTACAAGTAATAGCAACACTTTTGAGTTGCGTTCTTCGGCTACTACATGTGTGTATTTCAGATTGCAGCTGTAGCAAATAATGATCGATTAACTATAGCGGTTGCAGAAGAAATTGAAAAGGTATTTGGTGGGTGGGTAGCTCCATAAAACGAAACAGCAGAAAACGTTTATTCGCCATAGTGGAAAATTGTACTGACTTTCGCCTGTTCAGGGAAGAACAAAATGTTGTTTTCCTTTGTTATACCTATGTTACTTATACTGTTATACATTGATAAATAAAGGAAATTTATATTTCTTTGTTACTTAATAATATTTTTTCCGGTATCCAACTCAACAGCCGAGGATTTTATAATAACAACAAGCAACTAAGAAAATACAAAGCGCCCTGTGCACCAGATCCACTTTGCACCCCATTAGACCGGGTGCTGGTGGCACTTGTGTATTTTTTCAAGGTGCCCTCTGTACCATGGGCGTATTTTTTTATGTCATACTTTTGGGTCGCTGAATCCGAATTTCAAGAGTACCTACCAGGCCGAATTCTTGGTCAGTTTTTTGTTATTAACAATTTAAGTTGCAGGATTGGGTTTTTTCGCGTTTTCGCCGGAAAAGGAGAGGATAGCAAAAAATTTGTTCTCAAAATTCCATTCTATAGCATATAGGTGCTTAACTCCCAGGTTCTACCCCTACTTACACACATTATAGCAACGTGGAAGTAAAACCAACACGGGAATGTTTAAAAAGCTAGCCAGATCTCTTTTTAATTTGAAAGAGTGGCGCGTGATCAAAAATCTAAGGCAGGGTACCAATGAATAATTCAGGGTACCTATACGCTTACGGTAGTCCTTTGTCAACAACGCTATGACCAGAAATACAGTAAACCTCTCGCCAGGAAAGATTGCCGGTCACAGAACACTTTATCCCGGTCTACAATCTATGTTTTTCTCAAGATGTGAGCGACTTCCGGGATAGTATCGTGTCAATGTTAAACAAAAAAACTTTTCGTGCAACTTTGACACGATCCTATTCCGGAAGTCGCTCGCATCTTAAGAAAATCATAGATTGTAAATCGACACAATGTTCGCAAAATAAAGCAATGTAAATTTAATGACCGTAGTACCTACTATAGGTATAATTCCTATATAGGTATATTCAATCAGTTTTCGCATTTTGATCAGTTACTTTAATTATCAATAATGTCGATGAGCAATAGGAAAAATGTTGTTAATGAGCAATAGGTATAATTTGTTGCATTAATTAATTGATAATAAATAATGATAAAGTTAAATCACATAAACAGAACTAAACATGATTACAAAAAAACAGGTTAAATATGCAAGTTACCGATACGTTTATAAATTTTATGTCATACTTGATCTGATCATTATTCAGTTAAGTATAACGTTGAGTGAAGGATCTAGATCCTTCACTCAACGGTTATAATAATCCTAAATCAAGATGCACTATCCTATTACTCTTCTTTGAACTAAAAAGAACCGAGAAGCACCGAGCATATGGCCGCCAGAGTTTCAAGGTTTTTTTCATTTTGTTTCTTTTGTACAAATAATAAACCAATAGTTTACATGTTCGCGGGTTTTGATTTGATTATTATACGTGTGAGATGTAATAAGCTCATCAACATCAAGCAAGTTGATAACTTATTCCACATATACAGGGTGGGGCACGGTAAGTAGCAACATAGGGATTTAACATGGGAAATTAGTTTTATGCAAATCCTGCCCTCCTGTACATTTTACAGAAAAAACAGTAGAGTTTAAAGTTGTTCAGAATGAAAAGATGCATACAAAACTGTTTTTACATGTTTTATTAAGCTTTTCGTATACTCGCAAATTTAAATAGTTATTTATATAACAAGAGCGCGAAGTTCAATTTCGCGCATTGAGACTGAAGGTATTTTGACGAGGCGAAGCCGAGTTAAAATATCAGTCAAATGCGCGAAATAACTTCGCGCTAGCGTTATATACAATATTTTTTCTACAACTGAACAGATTGTTAATTAAATTTGCTGTTTAAGTTCAACTTTGTCCCGTGCGCGAAATACTTTTTTGTACTCATTGAATGGAAAGATAATGTTTCCAAGCATCCTCGATGCACGGGAAAACGACTTTCCCGCATCGCGGTGTTTTTTAGTTTCCGCTGGAGAGAAGGGGTTATGCGCGTTCTTCGGTTGGTAGTACTTATTGAAGTCAACGAACGTCATGTCATGGTTAACTGTCATCTGCTGTAAAATCAATTAAGGGGGGATTAACACCAAAATGTGAGGTTAATATAAATTCAAATTTCAAATGTACAAATTTCAAAATATTTTTACTTTTTTCGTAAAAGATAATTCGTAACATCTTCATCTGAGACAACTACGTGATGAGATACATATTTCGCATTAATACAAAAGAAAAAAAAATATTACGTAACCTTTAAAAGTACACCACTAAATAAATATCAAATAGTGTAGCAAACTATTAGTGTCTTGTCACAAGTAGTACCCTGAAGAATGATGTAGTATTTTGGTTTCGGATGAAACTTACTTATTTTTCAAGTTTTGTACATTTTAGTGCCCTGATCGCTAAAATGTGAGTTGCCGCCATCAAATTCCACATGTTTTTCCTGTAATTTAATTTGTGGATTTCGTGTAAGATGGCGCTGTTAGCGTGTAGCTAAAGTCTGTATACAGTGTGGACGTTTAGGTAACGCAGTGACCTATTAACGAAGAATAGCAACCTGTAATATACTTACATCAATTTATCACATGGATATTATCGCCAAAGACTGACCTTGTGCTTAGAGATAAAGGTGGTGTTTTGTTTGTTATCGTATTAGATACGTCCTACATTATGCTACAAACAGGATTGTAATTTATTCCACAGACCATTTATTCTTGCTCTGTCAAATTTTCAGGTATACAATACATCACCTGTTATTGGCTTTGTGTTTGAATTATGATCTATTTTGGGATTCTTATCAATATACTTGCTTTATAGTGTGTAGTGTATAATCAATGTCAATACTTATATACATAATATATTGGTCAACTTTTAATGCTCTGGTTTTATCAAGGTCCTTGGGTTTTATAGAAATATTTTATTATTAACGACCCTCGCGATCGTTTATAATTTTGTATTGCTGTCCGTCTGTCTGTCCCTGTGCACGATAACTTTGTGTAGAAACGTCCGATCGCTTTGAAAATAGACACACATGTTCTTCAGGATATAAGAAAGGTCCCTATTGTTTCGGCTATGTAGACTAACGGGCCAAAAAGTTACAACCCAAAAACTGCCCAAACCTACAAAAAAGGGTTCTGTTATAATTCTTGTTACAAAGAACATATGAACATCCGCTTTTCTGTGTTAGTAGATGAATTTTTAAAAAATTGCGCTTGCGCATGTGCAACCCAACTTTTGTATTGGAGCAATCCCAATTTTTTTATTTGTTATATTTAAATGAAATTTTGTATGTATATGCACCTCCCGCCTCGTATAAAAGTAAAAGTAATGCTACAAAAATTTGTTTTACAAGCTATGCTGATCTGGTGGAACAGAATCAATCCCTGCGTTGTAAAAAAGATGCATGCGCGAAGATCTCGAGAATCGTTCGGTATTCAGTTGTATCGGATTTTTTGGTCTAATATTAAGGCTATAGAGTGGGGCTCTGATATGTACCACAATAGCGATAATCGGATCTCATAAAACACTTATGTTTTTTACCTCTTATAAGATATTATAATAATGCCACAGATAAAATGTGAATCCCCTAAGAACTTGATTAAGGGTGGTGAATGGGGGTGGGGCTGGAAACAAGTTTTTAATTAAAAAAAGGGACATTTTTTAAATTGCAACCAGCACTTGCACGACGCAGATAAAATGTGTCGCTTTGGACATAGATTTTTTAATGTATGTCTTGGAGCTACACCCCCGAACGGTACCAAATTTGCGTTTCTAGTTACATTTTCTTCTCATGAACACAACAAGTAAGACTATCTGGGATTTTGGATGTATTCTTTGTAATTTTGTATTTCCAAAGATGCACCCTTAAACGGGCGTGTGAAAAGTCTGGTCCCCACAAAATGTTATATTTGGAACTGCAATTGCGGACAGTTCCTTCGTGTGACTTTAAAAAAAAATTATGCGCACTTCATCGTTGAAATAACCTAAACATATTGCACCAAATGTTCGTGGTGCGCATAGCGAATATGGCAGAGGGCCGTTCTAGCGCATTTTCCAATACATGTTGGAAGGCGCTATTATTGCCACTTTCTCCGTCCCTCCACTCGAAGCTGCATCTACTCTTACAGTTTTCAAGATATTATTTAGTTCGTTCTGTTTGCATTCGGTAGGTTAGGGTATAATAACAACCAAGAACCAAGAAAATTTACACCAATTGCTTGCTCCTGCGCCTGACCAGCGGCTGGTAAAGTTAAAACCAGTTATGTAGGTATTATTATTCATCATCCTTTATATCTCTTTTCTTGTTTCTGGAAACAATACCTACTAACCTGGTACCTACATTTAAAACATAATATGCGCATGGTCTGCGCGTACAGAAGACAACTGTTGATTTATTAAGATATTCGCATGCATTATTACCAATGGACACACAACTAGTAGAATCGTTACCAAAAATATGTTTTCCGCTTGGCGACATATCGCATATATGGTAAAAACCAGATGTGCGCATACGCACACTGCGCAATGTGCCAACTTTATAGTCATTTCTTTGAAATTAGTAAAGAAAAACAAGGCGTATAGTAAACATTAAATGTGTCATGCGGAAGCTGAGCGATATCATCTTTCTTAATCGGCTATTTTTTTGAAATTTTAACCACATGTGCTTCTAGTAAAGGCAAACTTATCGCAGCATTTACCTATACTACCGGCATATCTTGCACATGCGTGATTCTACCCAAAAGCTTTTCTGCTTTTTCTTTTAGGTATGTCAAAACATATATGTACCAAATTTGGTTCCAATCGGTTCAGTCGTTTACCTGAAAATGAGACTACCGACAGACAGACAGATAGAGATAATCCAGATTTTGTTTGATTCGGCTTCGTGGTGCTTCAAAACGTGTATTTTTTTATTATTTATGCTACTCAGGTATAAATATTGAGAAAGGTACCTACACCATAGCTGATCAATATATAAGTCTTAAATCAAATGTCATTTATAGCGCAACGGATGTTGTATTGAGAACCGCTGACTCCGTACGGTTGGTTTTGAGAAACTTTCACTCGTAGGGAACGGGTTTTTACATTGCATTTCAGGTGCATATTATTAAATACAACTATCGGTCGCGTTATAAATGACGTTTCATTTACGATTTAATAATTTATGTTACATTGCTGCGCATATGGACTATAGTTTACTGACGATAACATTTTTACAGAAAAATAAAGTTAATCTTCATGTAATTTCTTCAGAATTGAGTAAACAAAATACAAAGGATTATTTAAATAAAAAATGGCTTCAAATTGAAATACTACAATCGAAATTGTGTTCAATCTCAAATTAACGACCACATATATACTCTATGCCAAATAACAGCAAATAGAAAAAATAATTCGTGTAGATCCATTTTTTGGAGAATGTGTGGTTGAAGTAGGTCCTCCGTCCCACGCGATTTCGGTACCGCCGGAGGGTGGGAAGGGGGTTAAAGGTACAGTTTTGCAGGTCGGTTTTGGGGGGTCGTAGGAAAAAATTTCGCATTGTTTTCCCGCTATGGGCTCTTGAAGTGATTTTTAAAGAAACACTTTGAACGTATGTTGATGGTTGTAGTGAATTAAATTTCCTTCAATAATCGTAGACATGTGTGGTGTTTACTGTTTTGGCTTCGACATTTCGATTTTCGCCGGCAATATCATAAAGGCATCTAATTTTTTCGAAAAAAATCTAAAAAACACGTTGCTAAATAATATTTTTTAACAAGAAGCATGAGTGCTGGTGGCAACAAAAAAAATCCACGTGGTCGTAAAAAATGCACCAAATTAATGTCTTGGGCATTGAGATAATGTTCCTAGTTTTTTCCCAACGATCTTGGTGCATGAATAACGATTTTGACATGTTTTGATCAATCCATCTGACTTCAGAAATAGTACTTTGTGTACCAAGGCGGGAAAGTGGTTGTTTTCCGGGGCGAAGGAAGATATGGCCAGGCGAGGCGCAGCCGAGGCTGGCCACTTCCTGAGGCCCGGAAAACAACTTTCGTGCCGTGGTGCACACAATATTTTTTATCCTATACACTTACATTTAAAATTAATCCCTCAACAACGTCCGACCGCAAGCGCTTGAATTTGGATTTGCTTTAACGCGTCAACGTGCACGCGTTTGTTTTGTTTATTTCCACGTTTCCTGCTGACTACGCGAAAAAAATTTTTTTCACTGTTGACGATTTCGCGCACGTTGTCAAGAGCAACCTTACTTATTAATTAACCGATTAAAAATCTAGTACTTCGCGTTTCGAAATCCGTCAGAAAATGACAGGTTTTTTTGACAGTTGTAGAAAAAATAAATTTCAAATTTTTCATTGTCATTCTAGATTTTAATAAACACGACAGTTAATAGTATGCTTTTAGGTTGATGGAGAGAGATTAAATTCGGCCGCTATTTCCGTTAAGTTTCTTATGGGATTCTCTTCCACAAAAATTAAGTTTCAGTTTCATATCTTCATTGACGGTTGTTTGCGGTGTCTTATGGGGATCGCTATTCAATAACTACTCATTTTAAAGTGATCAACACAGAAATTAAGTCTCTGCGGCACTATACCAATTGACAATAACAACTTTTTATTCATTTGAATATGTCGCACACGAACGAAAATAAAAATATGGAAGCCACACCAATAATATTCCAATTAATTAATATGACAGTAAAATCATTGGTTTTAATTTATTTTAGTTGCATAAAATTAGGCGTCCTTCAGCAGAGTTTATGTCATTTAAAACTAGACAGGAAATCCCTATGTCTGCTTCTAATTAATAAATATAGAAAGTTGAACTCGCAAGAATAACTTAATTATGTACTAATACAATCAAGTACCTATCTAAACATTACAGTGACTCGACTGGAAGCAAGATGAACCAAAAAGACGCGAAGCAATGTCTTCCTTCTCAACTGTGGTATCTCAGAGTCAAATTATGTGTTGCCAGAAAAAGTGGCGAGCTGGTTGTCCCTTGTGCGAATATCACAACTTAATATCATTCTAAAAAATTCATTACACTATGTTAAATCATTAATAAATCCGCAATACATAGATCTCTAAAGTGAATGGAATACATCCCCAACCATCCCATTTTATAAGGGGTTTGTATTCGAATTATCACCTCTTTGTGAGGACCACATTCAGACGTCATATTACACACAAAACACACGATTTATTTAAAATTTATCCACAGTAAAAACAATATAAATAATAATTAGACGCTAAATTATTGCATACACGATATTTCTTGATTTATTATTCTACTACCTGCTTACTACATTTAATGGAATGCATGACTGAGTACCCAAATATTAGTTATGTATTTTGAGAATCAAAACAATCAACAACCAACAGATAAAAAAATTAGCAATCATACAATATGTAAATAAATTAAAAAGCACACATAAAAGTGATCAAAAAAGAATACAATTCAAAATTTAATTCACATATCCATTTCTTCTTCAGATATGCTTTCACTGGAACTACTGTTTTCAGTATCAGAGATGTTACTTTCAGAATTATGACTATTCGTAAACGGTTCTTGAAGTTCCAAATTTTCTTCATTAGAGTGATCAATACTGCAATTTGCATCAATGTCTTCGTTCGCTTCTAAAATGCTGTCAGCTTCAACATTTAGAGCTGGTGGATCTTCTGAAGTATCAATAAACAAATTACGTAATTGTTCCAAAGTGACTTTACTTTTATCCCAATTAGCTGCATTCTGATTTGTTGCTTGATACAGACTCTCTTCAATTGTACTTTTCACCACAAATTTATGTACAATTGTCGGTCTAAAATACAATATTTTGTTATAGACAACAAAATAGTTATTTGTTTCATTAGTACAAAAAATGCCAGTTTTCGGGACGAGGAAGATAGTTGCTGGACGACGCGTTAGCGGAGTCCAGCAACCTTCCGAGTCCCGAAAACGCATTTTTTGTACGAATAAAACATAAAATTTTTTCTCCAACCCCCTTTACTTCAAATTATATTCGAATTTAGATTCAGTCACAGTTTCACTACTAGTATAAGAACTTCTGCTTTCTTGTCCTCACGTGTCATGCCACTCTAGTTTTTAGGTTAACTTATAACCTATTCGTTCTGACTTCTTACTTCTCACCTCTCGCGACTTTGTAGGGAGCAAATCTTGAGGTAGCATGTTCTGCCGTTTCTATAATCTCTGGCGGAGTGCAATCCATGTCGCTATCAGTTTCAGTCATTTTATTGTATACACAATTAATATTGTTATATTTTGTATTGAAATAAAAAACTTACCGTACAGTTTTTTAATTAAAATTAATTGCAATTAACTTTTTCAAATTTTGAATTCAAAATGACAGATAATAGTGCAAGGGGTCTGAAGTAGATGGCGTTACGCGCGACGGCGGGTTGTATACGTATTAAAATTACGTTCATCGAATATGTAAATTACGTTACACATGGTTTAAATAAAAATAGCGAGCGTAAATCATTTTCAATACATGTACATACGTATAGGTGACATCATTATTTGCATTGAATATGCAAAAAGATTTGATTTGTATGTATAGAAATATCTTATAACCTGCAATGTAAAACGATGTCAATGTGACATATCTCTGTGATTGTAATTTTTTAATTGGCCAACTTTCAAGGTCAATTTCTTTTTGGTACTAGGACCAAAAGTATCTACTTTTTGTACAGTTGCCATGGTGAAAGCGATTAATCCGCAAAACGTCAATTTTACGTACCGAACACTGTCACAAAATAGCGTCTTATTCAGGTGGTTGGAGAAAAAATTGATTTTTAACTCGTTGCTTAATAATGTTTTAGATTTTTGGAGTGGAGTAGAGAATGAACATAAAAGACTAGCAGAAGCATTGCATGATTAAAGACAATAATGCCATTATCTAGTTACTTACTTGGTTTGGCCGATTCGATGTATTCTTCCAATTGCTTGTAGTTCATCTGCAGGATTCAGCAATGGCTCCGTTAATACAACATGTGTTGCTTCAATGAGATTTAAGCCTTTGGATCCTAAACTAATTGGCAAAAGCAGCGCAGTAATCTCGCCATTCTAAAAGTAAACTCTTGGTAGCTGATCATGAGTATGAAATAATTCACCTTAAATTTTGCAAGGCATTTCTTTAAGGACTGTATTGACAACAGTTCCGTTGATATACCATTATTTATAAGTGCATTTCTCATGACCTTTAATACTTCCACCCAAGTTGAAAAGACTAAAACTTTGACAGTGCTCTCTTCTTTTTTAAGGTTGATAATCAATTTAACGATTGCTTCAATTTTTGTTGAGTAGTTTCCTTTAATTTTGGTTTCTTCGACTTGGCTTTCAACCGCATCAGTGCGTATATACGAAACATCCTCAGGTTTGTGAGACTGTCGACAAATCGAGCATGGCAACAACCTAATGTTGGCCTAAGAAGTAAGATACAATATCAGATATAAAGTATTTCAAAATTTACCTTTTCAAAGAGAACCTGAATACACTCCAAGCAATAACAATGTCCGCATGGTAGAATGCTCCAATGTTCTTGCAGTGCATTTTTACATATGGGGCAAGGATCTGGGCTTTGACCCGCATATTGTTGAAGACGAAGTGTTTCAAGGTAACTATGTATTCCTAAATTTCTTTCCAAGGATGCCATATTTACTTTTTCCTCATTTTTTAAAATTGACACTTGATAATTTAGCTAAACAAAATTAGATAATTTCAAATTCTCAAGTGATTTTGATTCACTTACTAAAGAGGTGCTTTTTGTTAGAAAAATTTTTAGGATTCGCTTACTTTCAATGTCTACCATGCTAAACTGGAAGTTTAGATGCATTTCTGACATCAATTTGGTCTAGATTCTTATGGTCCTACCTAATGTGGAGGTGGGGAATATAAAAACTGGTGCAGTTTGAGATGTTTTGAAGGAGTGATTGTAGTGCGATATTTAAAACTTTCTAAAGTGGGGTATACTCAAATTATTCAATTGTTTGTTAAATTGAGGGTATTGCAAAAAGTGGAAAGTTTCATTTACAAGTAAAATATCATACTTCAAGACTTAATTTGAATTTCTGGATGATGCTGAAAGTAAATCCTAAAAATTCTTCGTTTTGACAGAAAAAAAAATTCTAACCTCGTGTTCCTCTATAAAATTAATATACTGAAGTTTATTTTCTAGAGCCATAGAAAGATGTTTTAAAATCCGATCTGTCTTAGATGTAGACTTCTTGTTTTCTTGTTCATCTCCAACTTTTAAACTTAATCGCGTTTTACACATATTTATTTCGTCGAGTGCACATATTTGTTGATCTAGAAGAGTCCAAAATTTGCGCATTTGCTAAAAATTAATTAAGATAATTATTATTATTATAAAGAGTACTGTTAGTTTACTTTAAATTCTATTTTCTTTTTATATAAAATACGAAAATATAGATCTCCGTCGGTTAGAGAAATATCTTCGGCGTCTTTCGTTTTTGCGAAATTAAGAAGTGCTGCAAACAGACGTTTAGTATGGTTTATGAATTGCTCCATCTTATGAGTTCGGTGGGGTTAAAATTATAGGATGAAATATCTTATGAACAAAAGTTTATTGTGATGTTTTATCCATTATAACCAACATCGAACGCTGCCATTTCAATTTTATGACGGTAAAGAAATGTAACAACATAATTGTAATGTTTCTTATTTCATGCAATATTTCAGCTAGGCCTGAAGATGGGATATAAATACCCGAAATCGATCGCCATAGAAAACATCACAATAAACTTTTGTTCGTAAGATATTTCATCCTATAATTTTAGACGTTTAGTATTTTTAAGTAAGTGGTTAGAACTATGGGCACCTCTTAATATTAATTCCTGTGGGGATGGTTTCCAGCTGCCTTTGTTGGAAATGTCTGCTTTGGCGGATTTACTTTCCATATCAAATAATACTGACTCATAGTTTCTCATTTGAACACTTACACGGCATACAAGACACTTTTTAACTTTTTTACTTTTTTTCTCAGGTCGAAGGTGACATTCCATAGCATCAAAAATTAAATTTTCATCTATTTCTATTTTTTTGCCATCTTCTGACGAATACATTTCACTAACAAGTTGTATGGTTTTTTTTCTAAATTTGATCAATTCATCATCCCACGCTGCTAATTCATAAAGCAGTTCTAGTCCGTGTGATCTTAAATTTAGGCAAACAATTAAATATATGGATTAACCTTGGTCTTTGCAAATGCCTTGAGAAAGACATTCGTTTAAGAAAATTGAGACACATGCTCACTTTAGTTTTTTGGTATTTGAACTTTCTGTAGTCAATGATGACGTAATGCGTTTCTGTAATTCTACTTCATACTGATTTCGAATAACCCAATGAGTCAGGCGAGTATACCACTCGCCTGTCTCCAAAATATATTTCTCTTCTAACTTCCACACTGTATTCATTAGGGCGTCTGTTTCATAATATGCTCGAGAACTCTACAACAGATCATAGGTAAGATAAGTAAATATAAAAATTTAAACAGTAATTCTAAGAATTGTAGTTGTTCCTGATTTTACTGTAACAGTAAATATAGATATAGAATCCAAAACATCCAGAGATCAAAAAATATATATATTTAAATACATCCTTTATTTCCAGGTCGAGCTTTGACTCCATTACGCCATACAGGCCGGTCTGATAAAATGAAAACAATAAGACAAGAAAAGAATCTACTGCCAATCTGTCCAGGCCAGCTAGCACCATAATTTAAAGGCTCCTCAATAACGCGAAAGAGGGCCAATATTTCGCAACACCACCATTCTGCTTTCATTGATGGTGACCTCGGTGACAGTAACATAACATGCCAATGGGCAATGAGCATTATGTGACGTTATATTTGTCATTATTTTCAAAAAATGAGGTTTTTCTATTTCGGTGTTACAATGAGAATTTTGTGCAACTGTTTTCGGCAAAAACAGTGTTTCAATGAGTTCCATTGTAACATTGTTTTTGGTAACTTTTCATCTCTAAGTTGGCAGTTCGTCAAGACGTCAACGTCAAATCATCAGATGTGAAATCAAATTACATACGTAAAATTTGTGTTTTCCTTGATTTTTGGTACACGAAGAACTTAATACATTCCAAATCAGTAGTTTACACATCCACCATAAATAAATTTATCTACGAGTAAAAAATTACACATTCATGGAATTTAAAGTTTCCAAATGTTAGTGTTGTGTTTATCTACGCTGCCAACTTAAAATTTGTCAACGTAAATGGTGTTGCCAACTTAAGACACATTAATTCTAAAGTTTCCTGTAGTTTTTGATAATTACTTTTTAATTAAATTAAAGCCCCGAAATAGAAAAAATAGTATGAAAAACGCGTGTTACAATGCTTTATTGTAATTACAATAGGTCACATTGTAACACTTGTCTTCCAATATACTATTTCGCCTTAAGGCTTTGGTTAAAATTTCAAAAAAATATCTATAAACAAGAAAGTTTACTTTGCGCAGTTTGCGCATGCGCAAATTAATCGTGCAGATTTTATTTGTTGACGTGCCAGAGAACCGAAACTACCAAATACAAAAAGAACGAATCTTGAAAACTGTAAAGTAGAGTATCAATGTAATGTTCTGGAAGTGACGTCACATCGAATGGTCGACGAGGATTAGCCACGTGGATACGTGTGGAATGGTATTATGGCTGTTGGCCATGTTGTGAGGTTTGTCGTTCAATCACGTGGGGTGTTAGATCACATGATGGGGGTGCTACACAAATAACAAAAGAGATGGCGGCTGTGGGATGTTTGTATCCGACGTTGTAATGATGGTTGCCTACCTGATATAGGTGCATTGGAGGTCGGCTTATGACAGGTTAACGAGAGGAAGAGTGACTGGTGGGGATTTAAAGAGGGAGGGAGTTGCAGGGGACCGCCCCCTCCTAGACAGTGATAGTTACGCAGGCGGGCATCATGGGAATTTCGTAAACCATAGAAGATATGAAGGTAGTGAAATTAGAGACAAGAAATTTGTTGATTTCGGTTTTATTTTTTTCTGATGTTATTTGAGCGGATACAAAAAAAAACATTTTTTCATTGTCACTTACTGAGTTTTACAAGAGACGTTGAGACGTTTCATTTCGGAGAAATCATTATCAACTTTGTCTTTTTATATGGCTAGTAAAAAAAGTAGATTCTATGTTGAGTAGCATTTTTTTACGAATAAAACGATGTCCGGCACACAAAAGTTGAAAACTGTTGGTTTCAACAAGATGGTGTACCTGCGCACAATGTCTTCAAGTGAGAAGATAAATCCAAAATTCATTGGGTTAACTAGAATTGTGAAAACTTACCTTATACATAATGAAATAAAAAATCACAGTAACTGTATACACAACCTTTAAAATTACAATAATTGCTATTTTAAAATTAAAACCTTAGTAGATAAAACGAAACCCACCCGCTCTAGCGGTACAAACGGTTCAAAGAATGAAGTTCTTTGTGCAACCCAAACAATCACATCCAACACTAACATTTGACAAGTTGCTGTGATATAATAAAGCAGGCTGTCATAAACTTAAGTAAGTGTTGTTCTTTTTTATATAATGACGGCACAAAAAAATGTTAATAATCAGCAACAAACAAACAATAAATTGTGAAACATTTATGGTGTCTAGTAATGTGATACGATACAAAAAAAAATGTTAATGGTAGAAATTGGCAACAAATTATAAATTATTGTATGACAATCATACCTGTGTGATGTACTTTTCAAGATATTTTTCTTGTAAGTTTAGACAGTCTTGTCTGAGCTGCTGGTCTCTTAACGTCGGCGGCATATTAGGATATGTCTCGATAATTTCGGCTAAATTATGCATAGTATGGATTAGTTGCAATTTGTCAATTGTAAGCTGTTTTTTGTCTTCCTCATTATTGAAACGTGCGGCTAACTGCATAACTTGCCGATAATGCTCTGTCGCTTCCAAGGGATTTTGTAACAGCAAATAAATACCGGCCAAACCTAAACAGTAATATAAAGAAATAGTGATGAGTGCATGGAAAACAATATACTTACCATTCAAAGCGGAGACAACAATTCTGAGATTTTCTTCACTATCAGTATTGTTTTTCTCAATTAATGCATCCAACAAACCTTCCATAGACTTAACCGATTTAGACGCACCCAAATAGCGACCTCTGGCAGTATTTGGATGATTACATGCTTGACGTATTGACAATAACGGTGCCATTATCTACAAAGTACATTTTTAGCAGTTATCGTTATAAGTAGGGATGGGCGATAACTGTTTTCACCTATCGATAAGTATCGGGTACTTACCTATCGATATATTTTACTTGTCGATATGCCGATAATTATCGAAATATCGATGGTTATCGATATATCGATACCTATCGATAACTATCGAAATATCGTCGATAGTTATCGATATATCGATAGTTATTGATATATGAATACTATCGATAGGTACCGATATATCAATATGTCGATAGTTATCGATATATTGATATGTCGATAGTTATCGCTAGGGTTGGGCGATAACTGTTTTCAACTATCGATATAAGTATCGGGTACTTACCTATCGATATATTTTACTTATCGATATACCGATAATTATCGAAATATCGATGGTTATCGATACACCAATAACTATCGAAAGATCGATAACTGTCGCTATATCGATAAGTATCGGTATATCGATAGTTCTCGTTATGGCGATAGTTTTCAATATATAGGTATCGATATAATATTACCGATAATTTTTTTGTAAGCGTGTCTAAAAACTGCATGAGTTTACTTTTATATTTTGGCGAAAAAGCCCGACAAGACGGCTCTTTTAACAAAATATGAAAATAACCGAATGCAGTTCTTGCAACTTTAATGGAGTTACCATATTATTATTATTAAGCGGTAATTGCACGCCCCATTTGAGAGAAATATTCGACGTATCGATAGTTATCGACAGGGATAGTTATCTTATCCAGTTTTATTAATAAAATCCATTTTCCGGTTTATTCTCGTGTAAAGTGACTATTAATAGTTACTCGACGTTTCTTTGCTACCTTTATCAAGGGTTTTTTGTTAGATTTCGTAAATGTCAATCAATTGAAACTGTATATCTAAATTTGAAGTGTTCTTAGCTTTTTCTGTTTTTTTTGTGACTGGTCCTCTGTATCAGATACCGATACATAGGCCATGATTACACCCTTTGATTGTCTTCTTTATTTTATCTAAAGAGTAGCCATTTTGATGCAACATTTTGTTCAAGTTTTTGAAGTGCTTCTTTTTTTGAGCAATCGTCAGTAAGACGAAAAGATCTATTTTCTAAAGATTTTATTACTGCGTTTATTTGGCATGGATGATGATGTGACGTAGCGCTTCTCTTGAGAAAGGGAGCAAAGTTAAGATTCCGAAACGTCGAGCAACTAAAAATAGTAAATTTACACGAGAGTAAACCCGAAAATGGATTTTATTAATAAAAATAGTAGCGCTCGTTGAAATCTCAACAATAACAATTTTATCGTACCAATAGTTATTGATATATCAATAGTTATCGACATATCGATATATCAATAGTTATCGATCTATCGATATATCGATTTTTTTAGCTCTACCTATTGTTATTCGATATATCTATAACTATCGATACCTATCGATATATATCGAAAAAAATTCCCATGCCTAGTTATAAGTCAATTACCTTTCTTATGCTGCTTCTATCGAGTGAACTAAGCAAGACCTCTCCACTGTAGTTCTTTAATTTGTCTAAAAATTGGTTGGTGCACAATTCATGCTCTCGACGATAATAAAACTTTTCCACCGCCGAAAATTCAATTATATATTCATTTAGAGTTTGTTTTGGAATGTTAATTTGCCCCACAACGTCGTATTTAGCAGAGCGCCACATAATCTCGGCTAGATATGTATAGAGCGGTTCGTTATTACCTTGTGAATGTGGATAGTATAGTAAGTGATTCCATGTCTCTAAGTCACTGTAGGGACTCAGCTGCAGATAATCAATTAAACCATAGAATCCTAGAAGATTGATTGATCAACAGAAATAAAAGGAAAATGTGACTACCGAAGATATCGCGAGTGATTGGGGTGCCTGTTATCGCCCACCTGTGACAAGCAAATAATTTCTTTACCATCACCGAAATCATTGCGGTGGGAATTTCAACTGTTTGGGCTTCATCAATACAGAGCCGCCACCATTTGATTAAAGTCAATGGACATCCTGGACATAAATATCGCTGTTCTCTGCGCAATGCTGGTGCCTAGACATCATGTTAAGTCATATTCGATTACACAATGAAAATGTATCTACCTGTTTAGTTTCGGTAAAGTACAGTTCTGCTTGGAGCACTTGGTAGGTGGTAAGTACAAGGTCGTAATCTTTTAACTTAGCTGGATATATGGACGCTGCTTTGGAACCTTCGTAAACCAAAACCTTCATGCTAGCACTTATATGTTTGCAGATTTCATCACACCATTGTGTTTGTAAAGTGGTCGGGCAAATAATAAGGGTTGCTTTACTCTCTAAAAGTGGCTGAAAATGATGTTTTTTTAGTAGTAATTCTTCATTGAAATGAACCAAAAATGGAAATATGTTTGAATTAATAGTTGGCAGTAGTCTGCGCATAATGCAATGCAGCAGCAATTTTGCAGTTTGCAAATGCTAGTGTTCTAAGTATTCAGCTAGAGGGGGTGATGATCACATTAAAATACAAAATCTACATATATTCACATACCTGCTCTGTCCAACATTTGGGGCACCTATATTCGCCATATTTTGCACGAAACCCCATACACTTTGAATGCTGATATTTCAAACAATTAACACACATAATACTACCCACCATGTCAGTATCACCACATATACATTGCACTTTATTTTGATCAAGTTTCGGTAACCCTCTATTCGAAATTACCATCTCCTCTAATGCGCTTTCATAAAAACATTCCAGTGCAACTCTCACACTAGACTTTCGACTAGAAAGTTTCACCCAATCCTCTGGCACTTTCAATTTTTTTGGGCTGCAATGATACTTGCTATCACAGGTCGTAGGCTGCCTTTCTCGTTTCGGAGGTCGCCTGATAATTTTGGGAGAGGCGGAATTAGAGCCTGTTACTTCCATACTAGCCATCGGATTTGATAAAATGCACGCAAGCACCTCTACAGTTTTGCCCAAACCCATTTCGTCCGCTAAGATTCCTCCAGTTTGCCTTTGTGACATCAGAGGTTTTTCATCTTGGACATCACCCAAATATTTGCTATAATATATCACCTTCTTTGTACTTAGGCATAGGGGTTGATATAAGGGATGTAGTTCCTCTGAAAAGAAAATGACTAAATCGGTAAAGCAGAAAGAAGTAAAATTACCAGAAGTAGTTAACGGCTGCTCTTTTAGTTTCATCCATGATACTGCATTTTGTTGATAGCTTCGTAGTTGTGGTTTTAAGGAGGGATGTTGTACGTATTCAGGTAAACTTATAGATTTATTCCGTATAGCCGACACATGTTGATATAAGCTATCTATTTCTTCTAAACAAGTTTTATGCTCCTTAATTTGTCCTAAAATACGTCACAATTTAGGAACAGTGGCCACTTTAGAATTGAAATAGGCTTTGCATATGCTAGGTCCAATGTCAAATCACATATACATAGCTTACTGCTATGTGTACTGTGAAATTATTATTATTTTCCCAGGACACAGCCAGTATCTGCCAAAACGAAAAACCTCGATGAGGACCTTAATCAAATCTGAGAAGAAATCATTTGGAACCCTCACTAGCCGAATTTCAAATTTTATTTGAACACCTAGTATACATAGTACCTCGGGACTAACCAAAAATTTATCGTGATATCCCCTCGGATAACCCGTATCCTGCATCATGATCTGAGTTCGATTAAACCCAAAACTGATCAATATAAGAATGGAAAATGACCGACACAGATTTGATGTATTTCAGCATTTTTTTTTGTTAATTATTAGGAAACTGATTTATGAGTGCAAGTTTTATTTGAGCCGCTCTGTATGTCTGTCTGTCATAAGACTAACGAAACATTTTTTAGAAGACACAATCCATTTATTATAAACAAAAAACCTTACGTCTAATGAATAAAAGAAAGTGAACTCTCTCTCTCCCTCTCCCTTCTTCCCTCTCTCCCTCTGCCTCTTACTGATTGATATTCCTGATTATGTTCAGTTAATTTCTGTAGTAAATTTCTTTACCTAGTTCTTCATTTTTCGCTATTGTAGATTTCTTATTACAATAGTCCTTTGTTTCGTCGACCGAGGTCGTACAGATCCTTTCCATGGTACTTCTAATTTTGTCCCTTTTTCTTACATATTATCTTGCCCACAAGTTGTATTACTTTTCCCCTCAGTGAAGTTGCTGCTGTCGCATTGGTTACATGCAAATGCCACTACATTTGCTAGAAAGTGTCTTACCGTAAGAGATTATTGTTTTGGCTGTTACCATATATCTTTGAAGTGGTATCTCTCTTTTTCTTTTGACGTCTGTGGCTGTGCTTTATTTGAAGCGCTTTTACGGATTTGTATTTGCATATAAACAGTACGAGGTACGTTAGGTGATTACTCAGCATTTTTTTAGGGCTTTACCTTCACTCAACCCTAAAATTTACCTTTTCTCAAAGTTCGTCAGTTTTCTTAAGTTCTCATCATTCTTTCTTTTGGATTACCTTTTACGTTGTATTTACCTGAACATTACCTACTACCTGCGCAGTACACGAATGACATCGCAATTTTTACTTTGACCCGCCATCTTATTAGGATTGGTATTGGTGCGCGTCACGCTATGGAGTTTCTACATTACCGACTTGGGAAATATTGTTGCTTGGCTTCACAGAAAATAAATCTCTTACGCTCCTTAAATCGTTACCGGCACTATCCCATTTCACAATATCAACTTTTCCTTCAGTTGAATACATCGCAAATGAATAAAAATAAAAATACGGAAACCAAAGCAACAACATTCAAATCAATTAATATGACAGCTAGATCTTTATTTGTTTTAAAAAGTTATTTTGGTTGCATAAAATTAGGCGCCGTTCAGAAGAGATTTTGTCATTTAAAGGTAGACAGGGATAAACAATACACGTAAATCCCTATGCCTCCTTTTTAATAAATATCCTTGTGTCAATTGTCCATGCATTGATATGGCTGACAATTATGCAACCCAAATTATACACTAGATACCGCCCTATTCAGTCGATTTATTTAACAGTTTCGATTTATTAAACTTAACTGTTACCATTACTAGAATTTTACTCATTTTCTGTGAATTGTTGAATACATGTTCGCGAATTACTGTGTAGCATAATGATAAAAAACTAAAATACAACACAACATAATACCATCAATACGAATGTTTTGAATAATGTGAATTGTACCAATTGATGAAATTGACTTATCAGGTTAGCAGCAAGTTGACTATTGAAATACATCTGTAGCATTTCCATTTTTTCTTTTTCTGTATACATGTTATCAAACGGTAATATAACAATCTTAATTTAATAAATAATGTAATTCAGATATTGACTTGTATAGAAAAACATTTGAAAAAGATGGAAATAGGTAGGATCGGTTGCATATCTGAAAGGGTATTTGACTTGTATATTTAAGAATTGAACATAGGAGATTCGAGAGGAGATTTGTATGTTCAGAGTTAAAATTTACACACTGTATATAAAATTATATTGTTGATGTAACAGGAACTTCAATATTTTTACGAAACTTTCACTTCAATTGCGAAGGTAAACAACCATGTATAGTTGACATTTGCACACAAGATTTTTTTAAAATCTTTTTTACCAGGAATAAGCTAGGAATGACGCACGCACTGTTGCAGGACCCTGTATATGACCAAATATTGTAGTATTGATTCGAAAATGTTTAGTGGCTCTTTAAAAATTGGAAAATTTTGCAAATTGTAACTTGTGGCTCTTCCGTTTCAATAGGTTGCCGACCTCTGAAGTAGACCTACTAAATTTGGACTTTATACATCCAAGCCGAGATCCAAGCGTTGTTGAGCTGTCGTGCAAAGGACCAAACTTTTGGACGATACTGATAAAGTAGCCCCTCGCTACACTCTCATTACTTAATAACAAAATAAAGTATATACTCACCTACTTCGCAAAATTCTATATTAAATATTCTAGCAAAGACAATTCGAATCACTTGGCTAATACTTTTATTTATTTTTGGCAATGGTAATTCAGCAATATGCAATTCCACAGAGATTTTGTCTTCCATGTTGTTAAATTTCATAGCGAACAATTTGAATTGAAATAACCCTACGAATGTACCTTAAAATCACTATAAGAGTAATAACGTTTACCTTTTATAAAATCCTCATCATCAGAAACACATATAAGTACAACTATGCTCCCGTCGAACTCCATCTTCAAATGTAAAGTATCATCATTGTTAATAAAAGAGACTTTGCATTTTTGCCATTCTTGAGGTAACACATTGTTGCTAATACCTAACCATATATTACCTAAATAATAGTCAGCATTGATATTATTAGGTGGAAAGACAGTAAAGCTTCTAGTCACTGATCTTGCTCTTGATTTTTTCGATGTGTCTAATGAAGATACATTTTTTGATGCAAACTTGACTGGTACAGCTTTTGTTCGTCCCATTCTAAAGCTACACAAATTAAGGTTCTCGAGATTGGTGCCGCATATAAATATTTGTAATTGTACGCGCCAAAGCCTTGCAAATTACAAACCAAACCAACGAACATATCACATAACCTACTATACAATTCATAAACATAAACAACATAGGAAGTGGTGGGAGGAAAATGGAAGAGTTCAGTCAGTAAAAGATGCGTTCGTGTTTGCGTTTCATGAGCAGCGACGACAGAGTGAGGTAAGCTGTCACGTGATGTTTGGAGTACAAGGATTACTCTATTCAAAATTATTAATAATAACGAAACAAATAGACAACAAATTACAATTTTTAATACCTATTGTTCTCCATTAAATGCACTATTTATAAAACTACTACTTTATAGAGCGAATGGATCACGCATCAGTCACACTGTGATATACCCCATTTACATGCAGCTCACTTCCGCAGCAGTGAGCAGGGAATTGGACAGGGACGATCAACTACAGTCTAATTGTCTAATTTTTGATTTTATCACTTTTTTATTTTAACAATAAGTTATATTTATCGTTCAATTTCTAGCACACCCGTACAACTTTACAACTTGCCAACATTACCTTACGTTGATTATGCTTTTTTTACTATTCGTGGTATAATTACACTGACCACAATTTAAACGATAGGTATTCTTCTAGGAAATTCCCATCTCCGCCACAGAGCCCACAAATGAAAAATTCTTACCTCAACCCAGGTTCGAACACCCGGCCTGAGGTAAATAAACAAAGTGGCGGTCTTATTCCACCATCTGAATCGCGAATAGAAAGCTAGCTTCCATTGACTTATTTGATCATATTTGTATGAGAATGACAATAATAGGTAAGTATATTCATGTCAAATTCCATTATCGACCAAGCAAAACATATTTTAAATAGAGGAAATGTGGAGTTGCCTGTGTGGAAAAGCCTTTCACACAATCTTCACAGCGATTTAACTTTCAAAGCCACATAGGTACCTGATATCCAAAATTTGATGAACGTAATTAAGTCTGTTTACTGATGGAACTTCACTTATAGTAGGAGAGCTGGTAGACATTTTTGGCTAAGTATTTGAGGCACGCTGAAAACTTGTCCACCACTTCTCCAATAATACCCAAACACAGAAATGCAGACCTGGCTGAGGAGAAGCGGGGCTAACACCTTGCCAGGCGCCTTCAAAGTTTGAAAAAAGAATGTATGCCCAGTCGAGTATCTGAATGCGTAAGAAGTAGTGGATGATCTACACATTATTAGTGTCGTCTGAATTAGTTGTAATTGTATCATGTAGAAATTTTCATCGTTTCTTATGCCGAAATAAAGACAATTCTCCTGAAACTTTCGTCAAAAGTGATCAAAGTACACTAGGTGTTCATGTATTTATTGCGGCCAGTATACACTTCAAATCAGGAGTCCCTTGGCCCTGCGTCATTGATTTGTCAATCAATTTCAGACAAGTTTTTTTATCGATTTCGCATACTTGATAGCTGATGTTGCAGCGCTTTAGCGTATGTCTGCATCATGGAGGTACAAATAATGTAGGGAGACGACACGACAGTTACCGCGCGACAGCAGATTAGCCATATTGGTGTGACACAAATGTCATCTAGGTATTGTCAGTAGCTGGCAGCTATTATTAGTTAATTGGTGCTTGACGTTTAAGTATTTCCAAGTGTTATTGTTATTGGCGTGTATCGTCCATGTTGGTATGACCATAGGCTCCGCCTACTGATACTAGTTCATAATGCACGTCACAAGCCTGGTGTCGTCTCCCCTTACCTTTTACCTCCATGGTCTGCATATGTCTGAAATTTATTCACAAATCAATGACATTATTTTTTTCAAACTTTGAAGACCCCTGGCAAAGTGTTAGCCCCGCCACTCTTCAGCCAGGTCTGCAATTCTGTGTTTGGGTATTATTGGAGAAGTGTCGGGAAACTTTTCAGAGTGCCTCAAATACCTACCCAAAAATGTCTACCAGCTCTCGGACTATTACATGGGACAAACAAAATATCGCGAAATTCAGAATTTAGGGCGGTAAACCGGGGTACTTATCCAACTCATTCCCCACGGATCTCTGCAACACGGCAATGAAATATAAACTGGTAATTAAAATGACCAAAAACGATACTAATTCGCGACTCATAGCCTATTAATGAACAAAGGAAAGCTGAGAATGAAGAAGGATGCAAGATTGCTAACCACAATCGTCAATACAAAGAAATGACCATGGTTTAATGGATCTTTGTCTGACCGATCGTGGGTCGTGAACATGAACTACAAATCACCTTTAGAACTGAAATTTCCACATTATTACGCGAAACAAACCGAAAAATTTAAATACTTAGAACAAGCGCTCCTGTTACAAATGTTAATTAGACGACTCCCTTCTCGTTTATCCTAAGACACAACAGCTGAGTAGGTAGTCCGAACGTGAAATAAATCAACAGATACAGCGAAGAATCGGACTATATTATGGGTACTTACCTCTACTTCCTTCGCGGAAATAGAAACCCCTCATACGGAGAAACATCAAATTATGGGACCCTCCTTCTCGTAGAAGTTTGCTAAGGCCCAAGAGCTCCAGTGCGCATGAGATGAGATGTGAGGGTGTTGTGCATTACGAATTTGGTCCAAAAGGATCAATAATAGTTATTTGTACCACTAGAGAAGAAAGTGGAGTTTTTCAACTCGAGTTCAAAGTTTGACACATGAGCGTAGCGAGAGTGTCAATTGAACGAGAGTTGAAAAACACTTTCTTCTCAAGTTTTACACATATTTTTTTCTAAAACTACAATCAAAATTGAAAAACTATCGTATAGAATAATGAATTTTACACATAGCAATCTAGATAAGGGTATGTTTTAATTTTAGATATCATTAATAAGATTAATGCGCAATTGTTTTTTACTTTCCTCGCTATAGAGGAAAATCCCATTTTCTTCATCCTTTTTAGAGACGAGCGTAGTTGTTTCTAAAGTAGTTTCAGAAAAAAGAATATTACGTGCAAGTTTTTAAAAGATTCCGTGAGAGAGTTTCTGGTCAAGAGGTGGCTAGCATCTTTACCACGTAACGCACCAGCGAATTCGTCGAACCTTGTGCAGCAGTGTTTGACGAAACACAAGATTGTACAGCGTCACCAGCTTCCGTACACTCCCAACATAGCTTACCGTGACTTTTGGATGTTCCCAAAATTTAAAATGGCGCTCAAGAAACTCTCAAGGAATTTTCGGACACAACTCACTTTTTTAATGCCCCTTTATTTTAACCTTGCAATTTCCAGCCATATCAAATTCATGTCTGGGGATTCAGATAGTGCTGTTGGTTTTTTTCCCAACAATCTTCGTGCATGTATGTAACGATTTCAACACTATTTTACAAGTTTCCGATTCACTCTAAGTCCTATATAACTTTTGTTCATGTTGAGCCAGTTTCCTGAAAATCAATTTGTATATTGAAGTTTGATACGGCTGGGGACATTATTAGGTCAAGTTGAAGATAAGCAGCCAGTAAAAAGTGGATTATCATGCATCAGTAAAGAAAACTTGCCAACTCCGTTACTTCCAAAAGATGCCAGAAAAATCGAAATTTTCCGATTTTACTTACTTTCATCTTTTATTAATTATTACGGATTTCATCCCTTTTGCGCTGGGACCAATATTTAATAAGATATGGAGAGAAGAAGAATAATCGAATATAAAAAAATTTTTAAGTAGAGTATTGCACGTCGTACAGTCCTAAATATAAAAGTCTTATTCTAAGTAGAAAACATCATCATTATCTGTAGTAGAGCCATAGAGGATAATTCTCCTCTGGTAGAGCATATCAATGAGCATATCAAACTCGGCAAGACCTCGACGGTATTTGATAGAATATGTATTGTAAGTTGCATAACGCGTTCTTTATCCTATTATTCTTCACCAACTGTAAATAGTTGCTGAATATATGTACCTATTTGATTATAAATATTTATTTATTATGGATACTTACATTACCTTTTGATACTCTGCTTTTGGTGAAGAGAAATTCAATTCTATCTTTCTTTCAGTTCCGCGGTTTTACCTGTTCCCTGACTCAAGACTGGGAGGGGCGCGCGTTTAATTTTAATTCTGGTCTCCCGCATGTCGTCGACTTGTTAATAAGCAACAAGTTTAGCATGTTGTTAAATGTTAGTGTCTGGTCGGTGTATACAATTAATAAAAGTGCGTTCTTAAAAGGTCACGGATTTATATAGATAACACCTGAAGGTATGCAAGGCTTTTTAATTTTAAAATAGAAACTTGAAACCTCGTCTCCTAACGCATAGAAACTGAAATAATTTAAACGCTGGTACGGGTACTACGTTTGGAATAAATTGTAGGTACTATTTTGTGGAAAAAATTATTAATATATTTTTATTACTATTGCATCTTTTGTTACAATAATTATGTTTTGTGTACAAGTTTAAATAAATTAGGCAAGACGCATTGTTTCAAAAAAACACGAATCATTGTTTACCACTTCGCCTATGCATGCATTATTAGGTAAATATCTAGGTACTAAACACGTTCTTTTTCAATGTGTGAACTGTGATTAGATGTCTATTATTAGACTTTATCGATTAAGGTTGTTCGATTCTCGATTAAAAGCTTGAAAAATCCGGCTATAATGCAATACAGGTAAGTATATTTAGTTTGCAAACAGGTATCTATATGTAATCAGTAATAGGTGTTGGTACTTAAGGGTGTAATCCAGTAGTACAAAATTATGCGAAAATAGTGCGATTTATATTTCGTTTCAATTCTGTAAAACGTGAGATGAAAGACGGGGCTAATTTTTTTCGTATAAATTAAACATTTAAAAAGTATGCTACAGAACAAAATTTTAATATTTAAAAAAAACAATTTGAGATTATTCCCATGTAGCATCCTTCGGAAAGAGTTAGTTTGCGTAAAATGCGTTAGTTCTCATTTACTTTGTGTTGTTCCCGAATTAGACGAAATTTTGAAAAACCCCTAAACTTTTCATGGTGGACCTAATGAATGTTTGGGATTTGGATGTGCATTTTTGAAATATATCTAATTATAGTGTACTTATTCGCTTACATGCGTTATTTTCCAGATAGGGTCAATATAATTCATGAAGTAACTTTACTAGGTTTAAAAAAATATATGTCTTATGAAAAACTGAGAAACGTGAAATTATTGAGGATTAGCCGTTGTGACAATGATTTGCGTTTTCTAATCGATGTTTAATTATATATGCATATTCCTCACAATGACTAATGACCTGGGTAAATTAGCGTAATTACTTGTTCACTTTTATACAATGGTTGAGCAGGTAAATTCTTCAATCTTTGTTTATTCGTTACCATTTGATTACAATTACAAGTAAGTATTATGCAACCCATCATACGTCAGATAGAAATAAAATTTAAGTGGAATACACCCTTAAGTAGTAAGTACCTAGTTAAGTTATAATTCGTTGCATTGAATTAACCAAGGATATGGTGGCGTGACACTTTATGTAACCTCCTGTGGCCTTAAATTCAAATTTTGCAGATGCACGCGAGCTAAAATAATACAAATACCTAACCATAATAAAACAGCGCAATTTGTAAAGTCAAAGTCATTATTTAAAAACAATTATGGGTGTCCTTATAGAGTCAAAATTTTTGGGAACGAATGGTGTCGCATGTCATTTTGAAGTATTTTCGGGCATATCATAAGCATGCAGAAGACAGGGTTTAATAGTTGTAGATTCAAATTAGGTAGCCTATTGAAAAAGCTAATTACATCTGTGGTATAATAAATTCAGCTTCACAGGTTCCACAACTTTATACCTACTAATTCAGCGCGGTTTACAATATACATATAAAATTGGTATTTTACTTCGGTCAGTACGTACATACATATAGATCAGTACTCTACAGCTACATTTGATTTGTTACGTATAAATAGGTTTAACGGTTTAACCGCAAACCGCATTTGAATCAAAAAATAACTATGGGAGCTGGGTTCTTAATTTGAGGCTATCAAAACCGCATGCTTATTAACGGCTAATTTATTATCATGCTCCACATATTTCGTCTAGGTAGTATTTTGCCACAAACGTATGGGCGATTTTCTATTTTATAACCCGCAGTTTATTTGTCGTTATCAACGGCAAAACATTGTTCAAGATATAAAACATTTTAAGAGGATTTACAGCAGTGTGGGGAACATGGCGAACAGGCGAAGAAACAGGAAGTGATTCGAAAGTGGAATCTCATTTTATACCGGCACCCGAAACACAGATTTCGACTGTGAAACCGCAAAATTCCATTGTAGTCAATAGTGCCTAATTGTTCCGCTTTTTTGAAAATTGCGGTACATAAGGAAGGTACACGATCGTTTCCGTTATATCACCCCACCACCACCCTCCGATTTTACCGGAAGTTGACCCACTACACTTCGTTATTAAACGGCGAAGCGGAGCAAAGCAATACAAGCTTTGTAGGGGAATTGATGGTATCCGTCTGTCCGTGAACACGGTAACTGTCAAAAGCTTGGGCCGATTCGGTTCAAACTTTGCACAGTTGACTTTTATGCCACATGTAACAAGCGTATCGAATATAGGTCACGCATCCACAGACCATCACACGCATCCAATGACCTCGTAGGCTCGCACCGAGGTGCTCTGTCGCATTTCTAGACCTGCTTTTGGGGTTTATTTCAAATGAATAGATATAGTCCGAGAGCCAACAACAGATTTTCACGGTGCATCCCATCCCGGCGATGTAAATCCAGGCGACGAACACTCCGGCATCGTTTTCCCGGCGACCATTACTTTCCCGGCATCGATCATTCCGGCGACTATTGCTTTCCCGGCATCGGTTATTCCGGCAATGAACACTTTCCTAACGTCGTCTGCCCAACCTCATTTCTTTTTTGTTTTTTTTTGGACATAAATAATGATATGCTTTAGAAGCAGATGTCAAATTTGGTACCGAAAGTGACTTTTAGTGTGCCTGGACGCATTGTAATTGTTTTACCACTTACTTACACAGGTAGATACCAGAAAACTTTACTTACCTATAAATTGCATAATTCCGTCCGTCCGCCGTCGTATCTATGGACATTTGCAAAAAAGCAGCACCAACCTTCACATTGATACCCTATTTTTAATTTTAATAAAAATGTAATAAATTGTCGGCTATTTATATTTATTTTTTTATTGAGGGGGTCCTCGAAATTGTTCTTGATTTTCTAGGGGCCCGCGAACTGAAAAAGGTTAAGAAACGCTGCTCTAGATGGATAAAAATGTTTGGGAAAGCCGTTTGGGCTAGTTAATGCACCAGATGTTTTCCAGATAGGAATTATGTTTAGGTATTCATTGAGGATGTGATGGTCACGTCGGTTGCAATTGAACAAGGTTTAGTGAGACTTGAAGCGAGAAATGATATGAAAAATAAATCTGAAATATACAACATGTCTGGCAACGATTGTAATCAAGTAATCAAGATGATTGAAAATTCATTTTTGGTACTTGTGCTCACTTCAAAAATAATCGTTGGTAATCTGGCTGGGATAAATCTAGCGTTGCCGTTCATTCGTAAAAACAGACAGAATAATAACGAAGCAGGTCCCTGGGGCCAATCAGAACTCGTAAACTTTAACTTTCACTTGTTATTTATTATCTTTCAGTTGTTCGCTGATGATGACAACTTGCCGTTGAAACTTGTTCGATCTTTGAATATACTATTGTAGGTAGTTTATTGGTGTTTTTGTTTTACGTTTTGTAACAAGGTATCAAAATCGTTGTGTGCAACAATATAATTGGAAAAGCAGGTGCGAGGCCAAAGAAATATTAAATTAGCCTTTTTCTAATTATCTACATACCTACGCCTACCACTGCCGTTTACTGCATTTTGTTAAATGGTCTATTTTTAATTTTTATCTATTAACAAATTAGAAAAATAGGTTTTAGTAAATCTAGTGGGCGCAATCTTTCGTATAAAAATTGAAACATATACCGGAAACATTAATAATTAATTACCAATGTAATAAATGACTCGCCATGAAAGATATAAGTATATATCTATACTATTTGCCCAACGATTCGCCGAACCGCACAAATCAATGATCGATATAGACAGTTACTCCAATGTTTTAGTAGGTACTGCGCATTTAAAAAAACACATTGTCATTAACACTATCGCCACAGTATGAGTAGTGCAGTTGGTATAGCGCTCATTTCCGTAGATATTAATATATTATTGTTTTATTAATATTAGATAGCCTTATCACCATTAAATATTACACAGTCAAGTTTGAGAAGTTAATTGACAAATACCCACAAATAATGGTAAGTTTCGCATTAGGTACTAGATTACCTACTTGTGATTTCTTGCAAACTTTTCCTCGAATTTTTCCATTTTAAGCAGGCGGAAATAAAACTATCGTAATAAATGATATAATCTCTCTAAATAGCACAGTTTAACAACTTGCCGGGCGCGTGTTGTGAATTAAGTTAGTAAATGTTTTATTCATCCAGAAAGCACTCATGTCTGATCCGAATGTTTAAAAAAAATTTCTCTTGATATTTAACAGTCAACATTTGCAGTGCTTGGCTGATCCTTATGTTATTTACTTAACACTCCTAATCTCGCTCTTAATAAGTAATACCTAAAATGAAAATAGTATTCCACGAAAACACGTCCATTTAGCTAGTTAGGGGAAAGTTTAATGGAAGGTTTACCTTAATTTCAGCTACCGCTATTTTCAAATTATAATATACCCCCCTTCCCTCGTCAAAAGAAAGTGACATCATTTTAAACGCGATTAAAAAACCAATACAAATACAAAATAAATGAGTTTGACAAATTTCACGTTTTAATTGTTTGCTATCTCTTAAAAACACCACAGTTATTATACAGAGTGACTAATAAACCTGGAACCAACGCGCTGTGGTGTGAAAACCATTGGACATATCGGTTTGAAAGTTTTAGGACTTGTATAAGATGTTTTTGTGCGTATTCTATCATGAAAAGAAATTTGTCCCGTAGGGTAGGTATGGTTTTTTGACACGGGCGCCATTTTTTTTTAAATGGCAATATAGGTCTTCGTCTTATATTATGCAATAGGAAAAATACGGTTACGCAGAACTAACTAATTTATTAGAGCGAAATTGTGAATAATACCTACAACAAGAATTGTTATCTTTTTTGAGTTCCACTACATTTTTATCAATTTTAGTTTATCACAAATTGTATAAAATCCTCTTTCTAGAATTTTTAATCGATAAACAATCTACAAAACAGTTTGCGAATTATTCAGAATAAAAACAATAGACAAGATATATATAACAATGACATCACAAATAGCGGCATTTGCCCTCGAGTTTTTACTGTAAGGGCGGCGATGCGTTAAATCCACAATACCTTTATTTGCTACAAAATATATTTAACGATTTGAATTAATTAAAAATTTTTAGGGGATATAGCTACCTACTCTAAAATTTGCAATAGAAACTCACATTTATTTTCATTGTCCTAGTTTGAGCGCATGCTATAATCTTTGTGTATTCATTTAATAAGTAAACAATGCTATAATATAATGCTGAAAACTACAATTACTACTATCATTGAATAACCACATTCAATGCTTTTATTCAACGCTACTATCATATTATCACAGATTTAAATATAAAATAAGGATTGAATGGAATTTTATCAATGTTTCTATTTGTTCCTAACGGGTTGTTTGATCCTGTAGTATATTTAAATCTGTGATACCTATATACATCATGCACTTGGATTACTATGATGATAGTCTGTCACTGCGGGGTATTTAGTTTTTAGATTCTTTGACTAAAGACTGTTAAGACCGAACGATGACAACAAAAAGTGCGGCTTTGGCTAGCAATGCTTGTGTGATTGTATTATCCCTCTTCGCGTTGCCAATCATCAGAAATGATTGCTCAATCAAATATGCCATCTAGTTCAGAAAAAGGTGACCTTTTGGTGTCTAACGGCCAAATATTAAAAACATTAGTGGGGGAGTTTTTTTTTTGTAGTTTTAATTTATTATTTCTGTTGCAAGTCAGCGTTTTAAACTATCTTCTCTTAAACACATTTTTACATTCCGTATATCTATTAGATAACATTAGCAAACTCTTTTTTATTTTCAGACAATGGAAGTATTGGGCGTAAAATTTGCTCCTATCAATATCCCTTTCAGAAGACGGATACAGACCTTATCGGCAGCCGCTTGGTTTATAACAATGGCGTTTGGTGGCTTTATCGGTCTCTTCCTAGCCGTATACATGATATTGCAGACAAGACTGTGGCTAGTAACTATTGCATACTTGATTTGGGCCTGGGGTATGGACAGACATACCTGTAAAAAAGGAGGGCGTCGGGTCGAATGGGTTCGTAGCTGGACTTGGTGGAAATATTTAAAAGAATACTTTCCTCTAAATTTAGAACGTGTTCCTTGGGTGGAATTAGATCCTAAACGTAATTATTTATTCTGTTGCTTTCCCCACGGAATGTTACCGACGGGTGCATTTTCTGCATTTGGCACTAACGTGGGCGGATTTCACGATTTATTTCCAACTCATAAACCATACGTGCTAACGCTGTCTCAGCATTTCTATATGCCGTTTTTCCGAGAGCTCGCGTACGCCCTAGGCGGATGTTGCTCTTCTGCAGATTCTATCAATTGGATACTTTCCCAACCGGATGGAGGAAAAGCGGCAATATTAGCCGTCGGCGGCGCCGCCGAATCTTACAACTGCCGTCCAGGGCAATACAGAGTTGTACTCAAAAATCGAAAAGGATTCGTAAAACTGGCGATAAAAAATGGCGCGCCTTTGGTACCGGTAATATCATTTGGAGAAACGGACCTATTCAGTCAAGTTCCTAGTCCAGAAGGTTCGGTGATCCGTTATATTCAGGAGTTCATCCGGAAGTTGATTGGTATCGCTCCTGCTCTTCCATTGGGAAGAGGATTTTTTCAGTACTCATTCGGCTTGGTACCACAACGTAAACCGGTTACCACTGTAGGTAAGCAGTTCAACTATGTTTAAAAGAGTAGAGTCCGATCTGTGCCGATCGGAGTTTGGAAAATTGCTTCGGATTAGGGCGCTTTGATGATTCAGTCTAAAAATTTGCATTTGAAATTTAACCGCTCTTTGATCAGAAAAAGGTTTCAAAGTAAGAAGAACGCCGATCAGTTTCTCATTTTTGAGTCAAGAGGTCTGAAAGAACGGATTGATAGACATGGAATAATGTGGGAAAGGAAGATTGACCATTCGTGTTGGCACGACGAAGAATCTTATTTTCCTATACCATCACATCGCACCACATAAGAGAAGATGGATCTTTTTAAGATACATAGGAATTTTGGCCATTGCCGTCATATCAAGAATAAGAGACGGCCGTACTATTGGTTCGCAATATGCGCAAAGTTGTTCCATAATATAACATCAACTAATTTGTATTGCTAGTAGGCACCTCTCATTAAACATAACCAAAGAATATGATTTGAGGTAGTTGCTTATAAAGCGTATTTTTTCAGTTGGAAGGCCATTAAATGTAGAGAAGATTGAAAAACCAACCCAAGACGACATCGACGAAGTTCATGAAAAATTTATCGAGTGTCTCGTTGAAATGTTTGAAGAACAGAAACATCACTACATAAAAGACGCGGACTCAACGGTATTTGAAATCGAATAATTTGCTAGTCAGTGGAGGATGTGGGAATGGCAACCACAGCAAAACAAATCAGATGTATTAATGATATTTATTGATTCTTTGGTACCTATTTCGTAAGTAACCGATAATTAACCAAAATATAATGTTGGAATTCGTTCTTACACTGTTAATGGAGTAATGTACTGATTTCCTAGCTGTGGGAGCATTTCTCATGAACTTGCAAATAATAGCTCACTGCCACTGGAAGTGGTACGCAGACGTTACACATGATGCGTTATTGTAAATAAGGGTGACGGACTTTCCTGAAGGGGCTGCCCATTCATCCCTTTCACAAAAATTGTTATTTTGTTACAATGGTATTAATTATAGTGATATTTATGTTAAGTAATTTTATTGATTTTTAAATTATAACACTTAAAAGTTTATTGAGTTTTATAATGAATAAATTTATTAGTCCCTAGTCAATGACTGTGATTGTGGAAATATTTTTGTCTTTTTAAAATGACTGGTCGTCCTTTTTTTTGTGATCAACGCCAATATTACCTCGAACCTGTTCGCTTTATTGCTCGCATAGTAGGTACCTACTACACTACATTACGAAAGTATAACTAACCGCAATAATAACTATCAATGCATCCAGTGAATATTGTTTTGTTACTCGTTATTGAACGAGCTTGGGGTTATGAACAGATAGCCTTACTTCAATGTGCACGTTTACAGTGTTTATTAAGCGGCAGAGCGAAGCGTTGCAAGCTCTATAGGGGAGTCGATGGTGTCCGTTTGTCCATGAACACGATAACTGGTAAACGCTTGGGCCGATTCGGTTCAAACTTTGCACAATTAACATATATACCACATTTAACAAGCAAATTGAAAATGGGGTAAATCCAATGAGCCCGTAGGGTCACACCGAGGTGCTTTTCCGCTTTTTTAGATTCGCTTTAGGGGTTTATTTTCGTTTGGACGATCGTATTGACATAGTTTGTGTTATATTATGGTATTAATTTCAATTTTGGGGTATAGTTTATTAACTGCATCAAAAACGCAAGTTCCCACTTTAATTCTTCTTACTAAACAGACATTTTTTCTCATCAGATTGCCTATACTCGATAATGAATCTTTTTTAATTGCAGTCCCCTACGTAATTTTCCCAGTCAAAAGGATATCACTTCGTACAAACTTAGGGTGACTCACTGACGGTTTTACGCAGGATTGATCATGGTTGCCGCCTTAATTGCATTACGGCTTCACGTGTAATTTTTTTAATGACCGTGGCTTGACGCTTAATGCCTCTGATTACCACCATATTCTTTTCCAAAAACTACGCCCCAAAAATCGCTACTAACCGGTTCTACTAATAGAACTCATTTCCTTTCACAAACCCTTTCTCCAGAAAGGCAATTTGCCAGAAACCTCGAAGTCTCTGCTTGCCAGAAACCTATAACTTAACATCTGATTCAGCCGGGCGGCCACGTATATCCTATTAACTTTGGCTTATTGCGCGTGAAACTGGCGCTTTCAATTTATTTCAAACGGAAATAGGTACGTACTCCAAAACCATCCCCCCACCAATTACAACAGCAAACTTTTAAACCTCTAATGAGACCACCCTTCATGTTTTGTAACACTCGATCCTAAAAATTCGCGCAACCTACTCAAAATTCGCCTCCCTAACGCCTAACTAAGAAGTAATCGCCCTTAAAACCAGTTCATTTGGTCAAATCAATTTCAAATCCCGCCTACTAGGTCTCCTTATTTCTCTGGCAGGCCGTACCTAAGTTGAAGGAGGATAAATGGCATACAGGGTCTTGGAAAGAGTCCAACTCTGCCACAACAACAAACTGTACCTAGGGACGCCACTTCCTTAGATACACAGGCAAGAAGTGCTAGACTTCAAAGGGAATCTAAAACCCATACTTTAATCTTTGAATATAATATAGTTATTTATGCATCAAAGGCATTAAGGCGATATTTATGCCGAGGGCAACAGAGCCCGAGGGCCTCCGACCCCAGGGATTGTAAGTCGCCCGAGGGTTAAATATTGAGTAATGCCTTATGTGCCCACAACATTTTATTTTTCATCGTTCCAAAGAATGCATTTCCAATATACAAATGTCATGATTATTGTTTGTCCAACATTAAAGTGCTTCATACGAATCAAGTTGCATCTTTTTTATTACATAATATAACTCCATCAATCAATTTGACAGGCCGTTTGAAGGCATAATGAGATGACAATCCATTATGCCCTTGGGCGTAATAGACTGCTTTATATATCACATGTGACAGATATAATTGACATATAATAGGCAAATGAAAAATAAATAATATTAGGTATATTCATATATTAAATACTTTAATCATCTTTCCTGCGCCATCTGAATCTTTAGACCACTAGGTACTACATTGCATACGGTGCTAGGATCTTCACCATTCCTGGTGGGAAAACACGTACAAAACCCTCAACTATCACGAAATCCCAATTCCATTGCGCAACACGGTTCCAAACCAGAAGAGTAGCTCTCGAGTTCGCGCCGTTTCTCGAAACGGCTTCAACATGACGGACTAACCAGCTATTCATTTGGGTAGTAGCTATAAATGTGACAGATTTCTTTAATCTCTCATGAAAAAACGAAATGATTTTATAACATTTATATTTTCGATCGTGTACTGTGAAAGTCATTAAGCGCGAGCACTATCATTGTCATTAAAAAATAGCTAATAGGAACAAAGGTATGGTTTCATTCGGTAGCGACGCACAACAAACCTTTGTTTCTATTGACCAATGATACCTATTGATTAATGATCCAATGATAGTCATTCTTTTATATTTATAAAGAGGTTGTCTCACCTTCCTCGGTTCAAGATCACTGTCGCCAAGGACCTGATGTCTGTCTCTGATTAAGGCGTCACAGTGACAGAGCTCAGTAGTTTCATCTGCCTCGCCACAGAACCTACACGTGGGCTCTGCTACAAGCCCAACGTTGTACGTGATCGTTGACAATCTAGTGAATTGAAAGTGTTGCCCGCCCATCTTAGAGAATAACCCGGGCAGCTACTTTCCAGTCGATCGGCCTTACACCGTCTCGGATAGCTGCTTGGGTGGGCCCGCAGTTACCTTCAGAGCCTGGAAAGTGTGTTTCTAGGAGACATGAACTTCAGGAATTCATGTTACCACAGAAGGTCCTCAATGATCCTCGTTTAGACCTTCGAATATGATCCTTATACTTGCGCTGAGCGATCTTGAGATCTTCCCAGTCCGCATGGCCCTATTAAAAAGCCTGGGAACCTCCATACGAACCTTTTCATGTTCTAAGTTCTACCAAGGTCTGCAGTTTACAACTGTCATCATAGGAGCTTGTTATGGCGTCACTTACTAATGCGGCCGCCTCTTCCTCCTGCCCTGCTTTCCGACAGAACAAAAGTGGCCCATTCAACCGCTCTGACAATTTCGTCACATAGCAGTCCCAGTCAGTGGATGGGGCATTTAAATACCTAAGGGCCCCACAATGATATGCCAGGTTTAGTTGGAAAAGAATGTATCCGTGTTGAGAAAGCAACGGCTCATTAGACACCTTTCAACTCGTGATCATGTGAGCTATATTGAAAAGAAGCCCAACGGCAGATCAATAACCTCCTGCATCCGAGCTGTGAGTTGTGTCGAAGGTAAGGTCTGCTTCGATTTAAAACATTCAAATCAGTTGTTTGCAAGTAGATACTCCCAGAAAGTGGTCACTCTTCGAGTTCGTGTTCATGCTGCCCCACGCAACATATGGTGTGCGTTTGCATCACAGTCAACCACCATTTCGACAATTCTCTATCAACTCGGCCCTGATAGGTGGATAATAATCCCACCATATAAGTACAGTACTGCTTTATCACTGCTACCTATTTTGCGTACCTCTATGTTGTATTCAGTAAATCTTTGAAAACAAAAATAAAAATGTTGTAAATCAATGTAGTTAATGATATTATGCGTGGTATTACAGTACAGGTGGCTATTATAAGTGTGTGAATCTGTGACTAGGACCACCATAGGCGATATTACTATACTATATCCAATAGAAACAAAGGTTTATCGTGCGTCGCCAACCATCAAAACCATACCTTTGTTTCTACTGGCGATTTCTTAATAATCTAATGATAGTGTTTACATTCGCATAATTAACAAAAATAAACATGTTTACATATTTTGAGAAAGAGAGAAAATAGATTATGCGGTAAGTGACTCAAAGTAAGTACCTAAATCAAAGTTCTTGTGGTGTTATATATAGACATCGATTTAATACTGTGTAGTAGGTAAACATGTTGCTTTGATGCTACATAATATTGGTTGTCTATTGTCTTATTGCTTGATTGAACCATCTACCTACGTTGAGTAATTTAAGTGAGTGAACTTAAGCGCACTAACGCAGATGTACCTAGTTACTTTGTAGCCTCTTTCCAAAATCACTTTTGATGCTAAATGTTGGGAAAATAATTGTAGTGTGTTGTTCTTCACACCGGAACCATACTAGAAGTTCGTTTTCTCACATAATTATTAAAGACACGTCTTCTTTATGGTGTAGATAATTATGTTTTTGCTCTTCAAACAATTTCATTAACTGTTTCACGAATTGTGCATGCAAATCGTCAATTTCCTCTCGTGTGGGATTGGGATTTTTCGTGACCTCAATAGGTTGACCGACTACAAATAAACATTTGACATTTGTGGTTAACTCCATGTTACCTACCTATTGTAGTTACAGGTTTTCGCAATGGAACCAAACCAAACGAATATTGAAGAAAACCACGTCCTAATGGAATTGCAAATGCCACTCCGGTCACCTTTTTCACCCACTCTTGCAGTCGTCGAACAGCGGATCCTTTGGGATTACGAACTTGATTAAATAGATCTATTTCCCCAAACGAAAAGACCGGAACAAGTGGCGTGCCATGTTTAAGTGCCATTTTTACAAAACCCTTTCTATTTTTTAATACTACATGATAATTGCCCGGTTTGGCGTAAAAGGTTTCTTCCGCACCACCCACGACCACCGCTACAACGTTGCCTCCTTTATCCGACCCTAAGAGTGAGTCGAGCGATTTAGCCGAAACGCTGCACATTCCAACCGCAAGCATCAAATCCCGTAACAATGGGGAATAAAAAAGTAGCTTTAGCACGCATAAGTGCGGAGTATGGTTTGGAAATAAATCACGAAATTCGCTTTCACCGTAGCAAAATGCGGAAAAGGCGCCTGTTGGCAATATGCCGTGCGGAAAACAACAAAACAAGTAGTTTCGTTTGGGATCCAGTTGAACCCAAGGCACACGCTGCAGTCTTATGGGGTAATAATCGGTTATGTAGCGCCACCATGCCCATTTACGCACCCATTCGAATCGTCTTCCTCCTTCATCGCAAATATCTATATCAATTACGTATATCCATACCAGGTAAATTATAACTTCTGGCCAATAGTTCGTGCAGAAGAATAGGTATAACATAACAATCGCTCCTACAATCCCTCCAAATAAAAGCGTCGCGAAGCCCACACCGGCAGCAAGAGTTTGCAATCGTTTCTCCACGGGAGTATTTACAGGAGCAAATTTTACACCAAGAACATACATTTCTGTAAAGCAATAGTATTACGTATTCGAAAGAAAATGGAGTACATACCTTTGAATATTTGTGAAACAGCCTTAAAATGAGAATAACCAAGTACTGATATACACACGTTCGAATCTAAATCTAATCACTCTGTATCTGGCCAGTTCAGATATAATCACTTGGTTTATGAGCATCATATTGAGCCACGCCTATCAAGGTTAACGTAAATAAACTTTTATCAGGTTGTAATGATAACTTGTTGTAACATATGTAGATTGTTACTAAGAAAATTAACACTGACCTACACACTGGTGATACTGGAAGAACTTTGAACTGATGCCAGCATTGAAATCGTTCCGCAACCAGGTAGTAAACGTTTCGTGAATTGTATGGTGCAAACCACAAACCTGTACATAGTACAACGGCCAAGCAAGCGTTTATGGGAAGGTTTATGACTTATGATAAAAAACGAGGTTTCGAACTATTTCATCCTACTCACAGTCAAAACGCACTACATTATTTGCTACGAAAATGATTCGACATTTGACGCTGTAGGATTATAATGTACAAAACGAGGTACAAAATATACACGTGTTACGTGTATGCATGCATGAAATTATATATAATTTGAACGAATGAGTAGTTATTAAACCTAGAATAACGTTTACATATATATTCCAGCATGTATTTTTGTTTCATCGTTGTTAAAAGCCTACTTTTTACGATCATTCACAAAGTTAAATTATAACTTTTTTCCATTGTGATCTGCTAATCCAATTTTAAAGAAAAAGATGTTACCAAAACTTACAAGACTCAAAGGGGCTCATTATAAACAAGTTTGGTTTTTTTACAATAACTTTTTTAGCAATAAACGCAGAAAAAATTCCTTCCTTGGTGCAACCTCGACACCATAACGAACCAAATAGCGAAAAAAGTAGAACAATAGCTCTTAAAATAAAGAACTAGTAGCGTGCGTCTCAACGAACGAGCGGACGGACGGACGGACGGACGGACGGACGGAAGAACGAATGGACGGACGGACGGACGGACGGAGAAAGTGGCCTCAATAGCGCATTTATTTTTTATTTTTGTGGAAATGCGCTAAAAACGGGTTTTTAACTGCCCACCAACATCGTTAGTCTTGTGGCTACTAATGATTAACAAGTTAGAAAGTAATCGTAAACGATTTACAAAAAGCGCATTTCCACTTGCGTTCATTTCCCATTTGTAAGATGCATCTTCTGTTAAAACCGTAAAAATCCGGCCACATATATGAAAGATATGCATGTGCAATCCATTTTTGACGTGCTACCTCAATTTCAGTTTATAAAAAGAATTTCATTTCAATGCTTTTCTAAATAAAAAAGTTGGCACTGCGCATGCGCAAAACCAAATTTTGCAACTGGTGTTAGATTTTCCTTTATTCCAAGTGCCTATGTATCAAATTTCATTTAAATACTTTTATAAATAAAAAAGTTTGCAATTCGGTTTATAAATGGTCGAGATGCGAAAGGGGCCCTGTGAATTTTGAATCGATTCGACTCAACTTTTGGCATTGCGTATTACATGGATAAAGCTATGCCCATATTGAATTTCATGCAATTCAGTTAAACGGAGATGTAAAAGCGATCGGACATTTCTAAACAAAGTTATCGTTCACACGGACAGATAGAGAGACAGACAGACAGACAAAGGAACAGACGGACAGACCAACAGACAGAGGACAGACAGCAATACAAAATTATAAACAATGTCTAGGATCGTTAATAAACGGCAAAAGTGTAAAATTATGGAACATGCAAAAAACGGTTTGTTGGTTTTTTTACAATAACTTTTTTAGCAATAAACGCAGAAAAAATTCCTTCCTTGGTGCAAGCCTCGACACCATAACGAACCAAATAGCGCAAAAAGTAGAACAATAGCTCTTAAGATAAAGAACTAGTAGCGTCTCAACGAACGAGCGGGCGGACGGACGGACAAAGTGGCCAAAATAGCGCATTTTTTAAATTTTTGTGGAAATGCACTAAAAATTATCAAAGTCCTCGTGCGAGATCGAAGGGACTTCAGCGCATTTTTGTGTGGAAGATCAGTATTCTATTGCCAGTTTTCTCGTCGGGGCTTACCATATTCGCTTTGTCAATGCCCACTTCCGACGACCCGTTCGCCCGAAATTCGAGTTTGAAGTTTTGACTGACCATCAGCAAGTCATCTTACCAGGGGCTACCACATTTGTTGGTACCTACTTCCCACACCCAGTTCACTCGTAATTCGCGTTTGAAATTTTGACTCCACCATCAGCATCAGTACGGTCTTGCCCTCTGCGCGCCCAAAGTCAACTGCCTCTCGAAAACGCGCGCCTTGTAAAAGGTGGTTAATTTCGCTCCTAGAAAAAACAAAATTTTGACACGCAGGAGTTGTGCGCGTTAAGATCTTTCCGACGATATCAATTTGAAAACAATAGGACCAAAACTATAGAAGATATGAAGAAACTAAAAAATCTCCATGTTAACATAACACGCTCGGGGATGGCGCCTAGATGTCACCGACCCCACATCATGTAGCGCCGTCCTTAAAGTTGTTAATTACACGTACATGTACACTCTTCGTCAGCCGGCCAAAGTGTGATTAAAAGCTACCTTTTTTACAAATCTCTTGTGCAAATAAAGCGCATTTTTAAACCGAAATAGCTTTTAACTTTTTACATCGCCAGTAGGTAAATGTATCTCGTCTAAACGACCTTAGCGCCCTTTGGGAGTACCCTTCTCCTGTACTCCGTTCTGCATATATTTACACGGAAAGGTTTCACTTTCACATCGTCCAATAGATATGTCTCTTATGGGTACCCTCTTCCGACGTTATCAAGATATTCGCTTCGTCCAGACAATTCACTTTACCTTTGAGAGTACTTTCTTCCAATAAACCACTCGAGATATTTGCTATTAAAACTTTGAAATCACCAATAGATATATTTCTTCCAGACGACCCACTCGCCCTTTGTGAGTCCGACAATCTGTTCTTGAGATATAAGGAATTATATCAGATCACGATAAGGGGCCGAGGGGGAGGACTATGGACAAGTAGAAATTAATTTTCCTTTCGTTGAGACGTTTCATTAGAGTACCATGAAGGATAAAACCAGTTCCAAACCCCCTCTTTTGATAAGGGGTCAGAAAGAGGGACGGTAATTGGTATAAAACAGTTCCTTTGATTGAGACCTTTAACTAGAATATCATGAAAGATAAAATTAATTTCTACCCTTTGTACCTCGTTGCAGCGCAATAGCTTCAATACATTGACGGCCAATGTGAGGGATGTCGGAAATTTACCAATAGGAATTTAACTGTTTTTTTTTTCAAACTGAATAGGTATATTTATGTAAAACTATAGATCGGCAGGAAAGCACACAGCCCGTGATCTATAGGTCAACCAATGATTTGTTAAAATTTCAATTAAAACGTTAACTGATGATGTGTTTGAGTATAAGACTTATAAATTGTTCTATTAATTTAATTCCTTAACAGCTGTGCGTTGTACAACAATGGCACGGTCTGCAGTTACGCCTCGCCCGGTCACCCAGTGATCTTCAAAACTCAAAAGGAGTCACGCGGGAAAGTTATAATTTGTACAAACTCTTTAATTCTTAAAAAAATGCCCTAAAAATGGCATAAGAAAGCGATAGTTCTTTGAACGCCATCCAATGTTGCAATTTTATCTCTGTTCTATGGGTTGCACACAAAATTGGATGAGGGGTCAAATGATTTATAGAATAGCAGGAAGCTCAAAAATAAAAACAAAATTATCTGTAGAACGGCGTGTCGGGGAAGGTACTCTCAAAGAGCGGAAAGACCACTTAGGCGATACACATCTACTTTAGTGATTTAAATTTCTCTAAGAACTTGATTCTTCTTGCACTATATAGCGTAGATTTTAAATGTCTGCCATGCTTAAAACGTTTATGTGTAAAGAGATCTCTCCCCATTAATCATGTACCAATGAAGTAAACTTTCAACCTCTTGCCTTTCTGGTTAAAATTTAAAATTGCCAATGTTCTTCAAACTCTATACTCTACTTAGAATAGTAGATCGTTCAAAATCGTAAAAGTTGTTCATCTGCATACCCCAAAATGTACGATTAAAGGTTGCGGTTTGAATTTTAAGCGTACCTACCAAGGTATTTATAACTTCGTTTGAAATTTCCCTTTATAATTACTGCCTTTTATGCACCCTCAAACCACCAAAATTTAAAACCCATGATTTTCAACTTGAAAATTAGCCAATATTCTTCAGATAAAAATTTCACTTTCCATTCCCAAATATGGAAATTCGGCTTTCAAGAAAATATTTCTAATACACTTTTCTTATGGTAACTCTTAAAACTTATGAGAACAATTTAAAATGTCTCAGTTCTTACCCTTTGCACACCGATAGTGCTGTTAAATAACATGTTTGGTGCTGGATATTAAGAAATGTTAATTGAATTTCCAGCATCACTACGATCATGTTATTTCGAAGGCTAGCAAAATGGTTGGGCTCATTCGTCGCCAATGCAAGGATTTCTTCAACATAACCGCACTGAGGACTTTATACTTCTCCCTGGTTAGGTCGCATCTGGACTATTGCTGCACGATCTGGTCACCATACTACTTAACTCACGTCAATCGGTTGGAAAAGATACAGAACAATTTTCTTCGCCTAATAAAGTACAAATTCCTTCTTCATGGAATCATATTGGATCGCACTGAAAATGTCCGACTTTACTTGGGAATACTGACTCTTAAACAGAGGAGAAATTTACTTACCGCATGTTTTGGTTTTAAACTACTAAATGGTCACCTAAACTGTCCGGATATTTTATCCACTATTAATTTAAACGTACCGCAACGATTTGTTCGTTCGGCTCGACTTCTACATGCACGACAATGCCGAACGCTATACTTCCAAAACAGCCCTTTAAACCGCATGGTTGACCTGATCAACAGCTTACATCTGAAAATCGATTTCTTCGGACTGCCACTAGCCGCCTTCAAACGTACTGGGAATTCACTGTTGATCCAATAAACAAGTTTTTCGCTATCTCTCCTACACGTCGATCTTGTCCTTCGTTTTATTGATTTATGTTGTGTATTTTATTGTGTATCACTATAATTTTAATTTGTATGCAAAATGCCTTGTAGCGTTAATAAAATTATTATTATTATTATTATGTGCAAGAAATACCGAAATTTCGAAGGAAATTCGGTCACTGCGGAAAAAATGGAAATTTTGATAGAAAAAAGAATTTCGAACTGTTGGTCTCAACATGATGGTGCACCCGCGCACAACGCCCTCATCGTGTGAAAATACCTGTCAGACATATTTTCCACTTTCCACACAATTTGTTCGATATGTATGTAAACCAACAATGTCCAACTTTTGTTATGTGCCGTACATACATCGTTGCGTTCGTAATAAAGAATGCTACTCAATACAGTACCTGTGTACTTTTTTATGGGCCATATACCTAAAAAAATAAAGTATGATGATTTCTACCAAAAACCAAGAAAAAGCGCAACAAAAAACCAC